TCATCCTGCAAGCAGTATCTGAGGCACTGTCCATACAAAGCTGGTCTAGATACGAGGGGTGTTCAAAAAGTTCCCGAACTATCTCTATCTACATAACCACAATTCAGATCAGAATGACACATACATGATATGTTGCAAAACTCGTGAGACAGGATTTTTTGATATTTTCACTCGTGCTTCGCACTCGTGAAAATATAAAAAAAAAAAATCCTGTCCCACTCGTGAAATAAATTCCATATTCATCTACAAAACATTGAATATCCTCTATATATATTATACACTTCCACTGGTGGTGAGTGGGATAGCTCTTTTATCGAACCCGCGACAGGAACTATTCCCCGAGGGCTTGCCCGAGGGGAATAGTTCCTGTCAAGGGTTTGATGAAAGAGCTATCCACTCACCACCAGTGGATAAGCGTTTTATTATACTGATGTATATCATAATTTCTGAGGGTTGAATTACCTGATGCTACATTTCATAGGCAAAACATGAAAACTTCAAAAGAATAGTTATAAAAGTTTTGAGCAAGTATTTGGAGTAAGATTATAACACTGCAAGAATGAGCCTGAAATCCTGATGACGTCACAATGCTACTGAAGTCATAATGACATTATCAGTCTATAGATTGATTACAGGAAATCAAAATTGGCGGCAAAAATTGCATGGATATTTTCTGAGGGGTGGATAGCACAAACTATACCCCGGGGTATAGCTTTGCTTTGCGTGGAAATTTTCAGACTATAAAAGATAGTTATTTTACCTTCTTAACTTTATATAGGAAACATTTTAACAGAAGTATAATAAACCCCAATAATTACCAGTTGTTGGAATAACTAGTTTGTCTCTGACGTCATGTCAACCATATTAAAACACCGTTTTATGATTGGACGCTATTCCGTTCGGATGGTAGACTTCGCTTTTTCTGTCAATTTTTTTTAAACACATTTCGTGCCGTTTTTTCATTTTTATTTTCAATATCTGTTCAATATATCAGAAAATGGCAATAGCCGCTTTATTCGAGACACATTTAATTTTATTCAGTTTTGGCTTGTTTTGTGAAGAAAATAATCATTTTAATACGAGAACTTTACTTCAGTGTTATAGTATATATTTTCCCTAGACCGTGCGCACAATCTGTGACCTTTAAAGATCGCGATTTTAACAAAAATATCAAGTTACAACCAAAACCAAACTATTATGATTTGGATTTTCATAACAAATATTTTCGTTTACAATAAGTATATCTAAGACCATTCCGTTTTACAAAAACGTCATTGTCCACGAACCTTATGGAAAATTCTCATATATACTAGTATATATAATATGCAAATTGTATTTCTATTTTGTTTTTGTTTTTCAGCAGTCTTTAATAGTGTAGCTATTTATCCTGGGAGGATGGGTCCAGTACCTTTGTTCCTACTTCTGGGTCTGCTCTCGTGGACACTGTATTCACATGGCACTGATGCGTACCCCTGTAGCTATAAAGCTAATGGTTGTTCCATTCCTTGAAACCTGCCTTTTTTCTATAAGAACACATTCAGACCAGCATGCAACATGCATGATCAGTGCTACAAGTGTGTAAGTGATAATTCTTATCTCATAAGTTATATCAAGGAAAGTAAATATATGACATTATTGAATATATAAGGCAATCAATAGTGATGCTTATAATCTTAAGATAAAGGTTATACACTTAAAATGTATCTACAAGAATTCTTTTAAGCAAGGTCACAGATTTGAACACCAGGTAGTGTCTTAACAAATGATGTGTAAAAGCGTGATTTTGTCAAGTATACACGAATTTAAACAAGTTTCTACAAAGAGTTTGAAAGTAGTTTGCCTTTATAAATTGGCATTAAGCATTCTGCTATTTTCAGTCTGCAATAAGCGCCTAGAAAGTTTAGGAATTTCCATTTCAAGAAAAATGATTTCAGTTACATCAATCGACAACTGTCATTTAGCAATTTGCCATAACATGTAAACGATTGCAATAGAAAGATTACAGATTTTCACATAGATTTTGAGCATCTATTGATTTACTTGTCTTTTATAGGGATCCTATCGGCTGTATCGCGTATTCCACAAGAATATGCTTACAATCTGTCATAGACGTGGCTCGTGGCGCCTGTCGTCTTGTTCGAGGTTCGCGAAAATTTACTTCTGGGCTGTTAGATTTGGAGGGAAATCTCGTTATAAAACAACTGCAGATAGTCATTGTGGATTGGTATTGCACTGTATGACATGAAGAGGATAGTGTATTTACTCTGGTTGTATAGTTGTAGTTTATTAAACCCCTTTTACTATCGACTCATAGAATATCAACTTAGTTTATTTTATCTGAAATGAATAATCTTCAAAAATGAACGAAATTATAAAAAGGGTCAAATATCCTAGGGAAAAAAAATCAGCTATTTATGTTATATAATTGGGTGTCTTTGGAATTTGATTAGTATTGAGCTATAATGTACCTTTAAACTGATCTTCGTACTTCTTTTTTTTTTTATCTAGATTAATTAAAATATTAGAGCAAATTTGTGAACGGCGAAAGATAATGGTATATTGCTACGTAAGTAAGGGAAGTTGACGATTGAGAAATTGAAGTCATCACGTTTATCATAAAGTTTTGTTGTTAGGTTTCCATTAAAGTCTTTTATATGACCTAACTCAATTGCCAATGGTAGAGAAAAATAAAGATTGTTGACCTTAATAGGTTTGAGCAATATAATTCTAAAAATAAATATCATGACTGCCATGGTAACACAGCATAGCAACACAAAAAATGCTGCTTCGTTTTGTTTAATACTGAGATCTCCAGACATGGAGAGACTGCCAAATATATATCGTTAAGACCCTTTAACACAGAGAGCATGAAGAAAATTACTTTGTGGTAACTAATGAGACAACATAGCATTATTTTAAAGTAATTATTTCTTGCTAATTTAACAATTTAATTACCATCTCATAAAACAATCCACTAGTATCTTAATCATCTAAAATTGCATTAATCTAATTGATTAAAGTAATAATATCTATTGATGAAATTTGATGAAGAAAAGAAATGCTGTCCAAGAAGGGAAAAATGTTGAATTTTCTTAATTTCGTAGCAATATTGAACCTTATATATGAAAACCAATATTGAACGTTGTATGACACTCTTGCATCCAGTTAAAGCTTGTATGGTGGTCATAACTGAAACTCAGAATAGTTGTTTGGATATTTTCAATTAACAGTTTGGAATTTATATACAGGGGTACCTATTCAGTGAAACCAAATACATGTACATTGTACTTTTTCGCAACGCTCTATTTTTTAGAATAAGTTTTGATTTTTTTTAGGATGTGGTAATTAATACTACACCATAGCCTTAAAAATAATTATTGCTGTCCAGTGCATAGTTCTTCCGTCAATTAAATACAATTGAAGCTGTATGCATTTCCGCCTAATCCACCATTTCTATTTTGCTTCACAATTATATACTGAATGTTTCTACATCTGTCATAGAACCAGTTTCTTCCTTTGGGCTCAATTTTTTTTTAGATCAATCACCGTTTGTTATCTTCACCGTTTTCATTAGTAGAATTGCATGAGGTAATTAATTGGGGAATAAGCATCCCCTGTCAACTGGTCACGCCAGCCGTGTACTCCTTTTCATGATCGAGCAAACGGAAAATTCGACAATTCATTGTGAAAATAATAGTTTAACAGTTTGTATTAAACAGTCAGGCAACATTCGACTTAACGATATATTATATTTGCTAATAAAGTCATTGTATCGATCATACAATTTGCGAAATGTTGACTTTAAACGGGACTGGTGATATGCTTGTATCATCAACTTATTTGTCAATAGCTTGTCTCGATTTAGAATTTTCACACGTAGAGCATATCGAATCAACTCCATATGCAATGATAATGGTATACATCTACATAAATAATAGAATTTGACAATAGAAAAGTTAAAGTCATCACGTTTATCATCAAGTTCTTTTTTTAAGATAAAATGTTAACGTCCTTTATTTCGCAAAATAAAGCTAAAACAATTATTTTCAGAAGTTCTATACAACATTATTGCTTTTGACATTCAAAGAAAAAAAAGCATAGTTCACATTTTTCAAACCATTAAATCTCCTGGGTTTTTTTCTTTGTTTTCTAGAGACACATTTCTTATTAATATGCCCTGTTCTTAGATCTGTACCGTTTGTATTTTTTTCTTTTGAGAACGATCACTTTTCGTTATCTTTACTTTTTCATTAGCTGGTTTGTATTTGGAAAAAAGTCTACATATATTTTTAAAATACATCCTTTAGGTTTACAGGTGTGTAATTATCGTAGTTCTTGAAATTAAACTGTGTACTCTCCGAAATCTTACTCAGAATACTAGTATAAAGTAGGTATCTGGATAAACTACGGCGTGTTTTTTTTTTCTTGATGTATCGAACAAACACGAATATGAAAAGTTTTGAAAACACCAAGACATTATTTATTGGAATAAAAGAAAAGTTAGATAGAAGATATTGACGATAGAAAAGTTGAACTCATCACGTTTATCGTAAAGTTTTTTTGTTTTTTGTTAATAAAATATCCAAACATGAAACAGTTGTGTTAGACTCTTTGTGTCTTTTATATCGAGTTCAAAGGGATATATCGAATCAACGCAGGAATAAAAATGATTATTGTTAATTGATAAATATATCTAAATGTTGAACTGAAGGCCACAGCAAGAAACTTCTTTTTTTTCATGTAGAAGTTTTTGAATTAATTCTGCTTCATATGAATACAAAATAGTTCTGCTAATAAGGGGCTAACTAATACCCATGAGAATTCTGACAGATTATTGGATGACTTGATCTCCAAAAACTACATAGATATTGTCGATCAGAAACTCAAGAATCTTTTAAGTATCGACTTCGGAGTACTTGTGTGCATAATCAGAAATTTTTAAACAAAATAATTTTTTAAATGACCAATGACAAAATAAGTAAATTTATGATATCCATTTTTATTTTTAAAAAAACTAAGCTGTCTATGATGTCATAAAGTAAATGTTAAAAGTAAATAAATTAAAAATTCCTTAGTATATTTTATGATAGATTTACATGAAGCTATCATTACAAAATTAAATAAAAGTAGTCCGTCGCGACATGTGTGCGCTAATAGTTACATTTGCCTCATGCCTCACTTAGATTCAACTGTGATCATCCAAAGCCGGTCACAATTATTGATAACGCATATATTAGTGGGCACTTTGCATAAGATGCTTTTTCATTCGTAAGTAACTTCCTTTATGAAATGTTAGACTTGTCTTCATTCGTATAATTTTTCCTGACTCAGTGGGCCTGCGTCTACACAGTCCGATGTGTTGTGGTTAAACTGTAATTTCGGTTGTTTTGTACTTATGACCTCTAGGTAGGTTTCCTTTGGCTTACTTGTCATGTCCAGGTAAGAGTGTTCATATTCCTTGGTTGCTGACACCACAGGCCTCGATTTTATGGTATTTGCCTGCACAGAACCAACTTCATCTGGTAATTCACTCACAATGTCTTCTTCGTTTATTTTTGAATAATTCGTGCTGTTAATTCCAGTTCCGATCTGTTTGTGTCCAGTATTCTTTCTCTGTAGTCCAGAAGACTGCACTGGTTCTAAATAGTGTTCGTCATATGATCCTGTCATGATGTTTGGCTCTTTCATTTTCATATCTTCGTAAAAATGCAAAGGTTTGCTTTCCGCTTTTAAATCTGTATCCATGTAAGCATGTACTGGTCTTGCTGTGTTGCTGTATCGAAATTTAAAATTCACATATTAGCTATAGATACATGTAAGAATTGAGAAACTGCAACAAAGTATTTTAACACATGAAAGGAAAAAAAATAATCATACCCTTTGCACTTTATTCTGTAAAACTGTACTGTGATTGGTATTATGAAAATGAGAAGCAAGCCAATGATGAGCCCCAGTACAATTATAGCAGCTGTAAATAGAGATAAACGTTAGTATTGACAAGAAACAATACATAACACATGCATGTTTAAAAATATTTTATATACTAAGCCAGATAACAAAGCAAAGAGTTCCCTGATACTATAACTATTTTTGGAACACTTCATCAAGTTCATACTGTACAGGTCAAGATACATGTGAAATCAATATAAGGCACGCTTACCTTCATTTGATTTGCATGGCACTTTGCTTAATTCATTGAATGAATCGAACTCTGTAAGGACAAGTTTCATTTTTAATAAAACTATTAAAATGAAATCCTTCAATGCGGTTACAAATGTCTTAATAAAAATTATGATATGAAAGATTTGTGGGTGGAGCGACAACACTCTTACCTTCGTTTGATTTGCATGGGACTATGTTGATTTCACTGATTGAATCGATCTCAGTATCTATAAAGACAAGAACAAATACTAAGGGATGTAATGCAACCGATTTCTTTTTTAAGGAGGCTGGGGGTCAACAAATTAACCATCAAATATAGCTTAATTTTCTAGATATGATATCTTAAGCTGTCAACTATCATTTGGTAAAGAAAAATTTTATATACAGTGGCGCCTCGTTTATCCGGACGCCTCTGTCCCCAACGAAAACGTCCGGATCGCAGTAATTGATTAATGAAAAAATAAAATATTAAAATGTAATTTACACAATAAAAAAATGGATGGGCAATTTTATGCCGAGACCTCCTTTTTTAATTCGCCTTCTCTTTGGCATGTGACTTCATGGACTGAGCAAATTTTGATCTACTGTTGTTTTATTTTGCCATATATTAAAATTATTGAAGCTCATATGATATGACAGAACTGTTTAGCATCATCATTGAAAATGTTCAAATATAAACTAACCCTGTATATTCCCCGTATATTCATTACACAGGGTTACTATAAAATTAACTGGACACTGCAAGCTAACTCAAACAAAGTATTAAAAACATTCGTAAACACAAGCCATCTTCATGATTATCAATATTTTTTTTTTCTACAGACGCTAAGTTTGAATTTCGATCATTAAAAAATACCTTGAAAAACGTAATCAACTTCTGTACGTAACGCCAGTTTTATATGTAATGGACGTTTGTAAACGGTAGTACATTAAATAGAGATATTTCCTTAATTATGTACCTTTCTATACTGTCTTGTGGGAAAAAAAGCGTTTCAAATACATTTACTTTTTTTTAGAAATGGAACATCGTATTTCAAACTAACGCAATCGACATGATAAAGAGCAAATACGAAATCGCTCGTTATTTATTGTTCATGTTATTTACAACTCTCAAAAATTCTCCTGAATTTACCGATGTATATACGGTTAGCAATATGATTTTGAACGGATTATTATTTAATTAATGCACAGTGTCAGCTAAATTCTTTGAGCTTCATAATAAAGATAAACGTGTGATTGAATTGGGGTAAACACACGCTAATTATAGACGCTATTGTTTGTAGGTCACAAGTATAACCACCTTCAAACTGACTGCATGGCCAATGTTTTTACAACAATTAACACGAATGCAAGATAAGTGTGAAAATGTCGTTTCTTGAAAAATTACCGTCCGGATAAACGAGTCATTTTTCAATGAACTATTATGTTTTGTAGTAGAAATTGACCGTCCGGATACGGAACGCGAATTTCCGGATTAATGAGACAAAATAACGTGAAAAAAATCGGTTCCCAAAAAATATCGTCCGGATGGTGAAGCGTCCGGATAAATGGCGTCCGGATAAACGCGGCGCCACTGTATTTTAGTTTTTAAATTTGATCATTTTTGTATATCTTTATATGGAGCTCTTCTTCTAAAGGAGATCAATATAGTCTGAAAATGGCCACAACCCCCCAGCCCTCTTAATAAGAGAACATAGCACATTAGAATTCTTCAATTTGATTTATAAATGTCTTGTGATATCATTTTCATATTCACATTTGTGAAGGCACATGTGTTTTTTACGAGAAAATGTTGCAATCAAATAAGGTTGATTCATGAAATATGGAGATAACGAACAGTATTCAAGCTCAAAAGTCCATTAAACAATACAATTCGGGAGCAGAGCAAGCATGGACCTCCCAAAACATTAAAAAGAACTGAGCATCCCCTGTCAACCGCGTGCTCCTTGTCATGATCGGGAAATATCCGTAGACAATTTAGTGTGTTCTCTTTGTTTGTTGTTTAATGTCCCTCTCAAGAATTTTTCACTCATATGGAAACGCCACCAGTTGCCGGTGAAGAGTTGCAAATTTTTTAGCTATACTCGGCACTCAGGGACATTACCAGTGAGGGATCTTTTTCGTGCCAGCGCCTACTGCGACACAGGACCTTGGTTTATACGGTCTCATCCAAAAGACTGGTCTCCACGTCCCACAGTGGGATTTGGACCCGCGACGTAAGGGTCAACTCCTTACTCTGCAACTATAGAGCAGACGCTCTAACCAATGCGCCAAGCGGGCAACCAATCCAGTGTGTAAATTAAGTCCTAGCTGCGTATTGAATCAACTAGGAGACAAAAACTCCATATGCAGGTGATAAGGGTATATTGCTACGTAAGTAAGGGAAGTTGCATGAAGATTGAAAAGTGAAAGTCATCACGTTTATCATAAAGCTTTGTTAAGTTGTTAGGTTACCATTAACGTCTTTTTCTAGTAAAATATCCAAATAGAAACAGATGTGTCAGACTCTGTGGTATCTTTAATTTCACGTTCACTGGATATCTCGAGTCGACATATGAATGGAACTGTTGTTAATTGATAATACGTGATATATCTATATGTCGAGTGGAAGGCCACAGCAAGTGTTTTCTTTTCCTCGTGTATAAGATTTTGAATAAATTTTGCTTCATATGAATACAAAAAATAGGTCTGCTAATAAGGGGGTGCAATTGGTACCCATGGGAATTCCAACAGATTATTGGAAGACTTATTTCCAAAAACTACATACTAGATATTGTCAATCAGAAACTCAAGCACATTACATTTTTAATATCAATTTCAGAGTACTTGTATGTACAATCAGAATGTTTTTAAAAAAAAAATTTACAAATGACAAGGTAATTATATTAACTATTTCCATATTTATTGAAATGGCAGCTGTATAAAACTGTAAAACACGCGATAGCTATGTAAAACATGTGTTAAAAAGAATCTCCCTTGATTTGTTTTTGGACATAATTTTTATCTAGCTCGTGTGTTTTCTATCCCCTCGCCAAGGCTCAGGGAAAGAAAACACAAACTCATTTCAAACCACAAAGCACGGGAGATCCTATATTGATAAGAGTATTTAAGATTTGACTAGGGAATTTGTTTTTATTGATTGTTAAACATGATATCTGGTTTATTTCACGTTTCAACCCCGAAGTACATGATATAGAGAATGCAAGAAGAGGATTCTTAAAATATTTTTTTCCTATTTCTTTTACTGCTATGTTTTTACACTTCAGCGAATTGTTATTAAATTATTCAATTAATTACGGAAAATTCATATTTCCAACTCAGTGTAAAAAACTCTGAAATGATAAATTTACCTAATACATTACTTTTATTCTAATTTCCTTAACACACTCTACTATCACAAACCTACCCTTGGAGCAGTTATCTCCCTTACACACACATCCTCTGGCCTTACTACAGCGCTGTGTGTGATCACAATAACATTTCTTCAGGCAAAACTGACCATAAAAGCCATCAGGACAGATTTTGGAGCAGTTAATCCCCATAGTCCCAGACGGACAGGCTATCAAAACACCAATGTAATTGCGTATTTAGTTCCATCAGACATATATAGTTTAAAAAAAATAAAAACTCCATATTTTTTCTCGTCATGTCATGCATGAATTATCTTTACTCTGTAAATCATATCGAAATTAAGTGAAATTGCTTTAGACATAGACATAATTGTAATATGACCTCCCTTGTAGATATTTATTTGCTCGAATTCCTCTAATTTAACACTTTCCTGATTGTCATAACCCTTAAAGAAGTTACTTTAATCATGATCTTTTTATTCCTTAAATACTGTTGGATAACCCTGCTCTCTAACAAGTGTTCACTTTATGTGAGAAGAATAGCGTTACCTATACATTTTCCGCCTACGTCTATGTAGTTCAGACAACAGGACAATATTGTAGGATCTCTGAATGATTAAAAATAGATATCATAGACCTCAAAGTTTCTCTTTTACATTTTCGAAGATGTGCTACAAGAATATTTCCTGCTTTCGATAACATGTAATTATTATAGTTTAAAATCTATATAAAGAAACACATTGTATTTTGAGTTACAGCTTGATAGCTTGATATTTGTCCTATTTAAAACTTCATGCATACATGTGGCCAGATAATTTTGTATTCATTTTCCAAGTTTATTTTACAGAATACTACTTGAAATTCATTTCTTCACACAAAAGTATTTACTATATATATATATATATATATATATATATATATATATATATATATATATATATATATATATATATATATATATATATATATATATATATATTCTAGAAGACTTATGTTACATATTCCTGGAAAATAATTCAATTATTTTCATACTAATTATTTGGTTTATCAAATAGAGACCAAATCATTTCTTGTTTCTCAAAAATGAAGATGTGAAAAGTAATGACGATTAAAATCAGAAAGAATAAAAACATACCCTTCGTTTCGGCATTGTCCCTGAGAATTTTGTGAAAAACTGAAATCTAAAACACCGAGTAAACAAAGACAAAATAGTATCATTCTATTGCCATTACAAAGAAAATACATTATTTTCATTCGAATTAACATCCGCTCGTATCTAGTACGGTTGTTGAAAATGGCATCTTGTTTAAGGAAGCGATTGCAAGGCGTCACGTGATCGACTCATGTGATGTTTAAAAAAAGAAGATTTACGGTAACCATTTCCGGAATAACAGCTGAATAAGGAGCGTGATTATGATTACGCCCATGACAAAATATCTTCGTGGCAATAATTTTAAAGCAGAGAAAGAATAATATTAAGATGTGATGTTGCAGAGTGTTGGTGAGCGTCGACGCAGACTTTTTTTTTAATTCCTGTTTTTTTTTTTTCGTTTCGACACGTCTACCTTTTGTCGTAGTTCTGAACACTGAAATCTATTTCATGAATAAATTTAATTCATATCTGGATCTTTATGTCCTCTAGTTTTATTTAAAATATTAGAATTTTATTTGAGATCGGTTTCTTTCCTATAGGATCTACATCTATGAATCGATATTCATTTCCTAGAAGCTTCAGACGGCGTGATTTTCTCAGTGATTATAATGAATATAGGCCTATATGGATGGACAGATAAATGAATGCGTTTTTCATATATACGTGTATAGACCAGTTTGAGGCCGCATGCTGGACATGAACGTATTTTTAAAAATATCGCAGAGGAAATTGTTTTCCTCGGTAAGATCTTCTCTAGCATTTTCAACTCTTACATCGACCATGTAAACATTGAATCGTCGGCACATTATTGCGTAAACATTTATAATTGTTGTGGTAAAATGTTTTATTCGTCGTATTTGGTAAAAAATTGAAACTGAACACACTTCTTCTGACAGAAAAGAAAAGTTTCTTTTTGCAAGTTTTCACAAATCTAGCAAAAAATACGCGTGTAAGAATGACAGATGAAACTAAGAGAGGTTAATTCTGACAATCGAGGTACTACGGAGGTACCAGGTATACCAGAGAGGGAAAATTGTTTTGAGCATATTACATTTTTGAAAAAAAAAATTTCAACTCATCCTGCTCACGGGAATATATTTGAAAAATGAATTTGATTTTTTAAAATTCACGAGGACATAAACAAAGACGTTTCACCTCAGCATATTTCATGAACCGCGTGAGCATGAAGCGCAAATTTATAAATGTCATTCAACGATTATTTTTGAAACAAAACAGTTTGCACTATAGTTTTGACGTCAAGTGTGGCATTATGACGTCACAATGGAGATATGTAGGCTTACCTAGTTCATGAAAAAATGAATTGTTTTCTAACTTGCAATGAATCTGAAGGGAAAATATTTGCAAAATGTAAATATTAAATAGCAAATCATGAAATTTGTCAAATAAGATAATAGTTAGGATTTTTATATACGGTATATATTGCAGGTACAAGTTCTCTGAAATAACCTATTCATTCAATGTGTTCAAGTGACTCACCCCCCCCCCCCCTTTCCGATTCCAAGTCACAGTGCAGAGAACTCGATGAGTGTTCAGAGCATGAACAATTTGGCCCTTAGACCACTGTGCACTGGTTTAGAATGTATATACATGTACTTATGTTGATATAATAACGGAATGAATATTTTGGAGATGGGGAAATAAAAAAATATGCATATTGTTGTTTTTTGTGTACATTATTTTATATCATTCTGCTCTACGCATAAAATGAGCAACCACTACAAGATTTTCAGGAAAAAATATTTATTAATCTATACGTATTTTCTATAGTTTTTAACAGATTATGCATATTTAAGGTTCAGCAACAAACCATCAGATTAAAATTTATGAAATCTTTTAATATTTTAGGAAAGGGGGGGGGGTATTGAAATGCATGTAGCTTAAAAAAGAATGTGATGACCCCACTTCATATTTTAAACATAAGTCACTTATAATAATTGTTACAAAATATATTAATTTTGGGAAAATTCATTGGGCAATTTTTTGTCAAGACGTTGAAAACTGCTCTTGGGGTGAAAATATTACTGCAAATTTACAATGACTACTCCCCAAAGCAACTGGGGCATTAGTACATCTATCAATAGTTTCCGATACAATTTTTATTTCCGATGAATATAAAGCATGTTATTTAATATCTGGTGAAAATTATTTAATTTGTTTCAATTTTGATACCTGTATGGCATAATTAAAAATTCACTACATAAATATCAAAATATTGAAAAACGGTGGTTACCATGGCAACCATATCTTCCTTATAACCCTGATGACCATGGTTGAAATTTTCATATGATGATACCATTAACGTAAGGCAAATTATATGTAAAAATGAGAAAAATTCATTGAGCGGATTTTTTTCATGTACCCTTGCAATCTCTTCCTTAAAATCAGTTGTTTATGTACAAATGTATCATTTGAATGACACCGAATACTTCCTTCTTTTGCAATGATTGATTTTTGGCAATGTACAATTGTTTTCTTCAGTAAAGCCTTTATTTCAATTTGAAACAAGATGTGTTTGTGGAACACGGATGCCCCCGTATGGCAGCTCATGGCAAAGGTTAAATTTTCTCAAATGTAAGTCAAACACCAAGGTCAAAGTCAAGAGATCAAAAATATTGTTACCCAAAGAAAGGACTTGTGTCAATGGATATACCTGTTAAATATGAAAGCCCAAGCATCAACCATTCAAAGTTATGGTCAAGGTTAATGTTTTCTAAAAATGGGTCAAACTAGACGCGTTCTTAAATGTTTAGCTAGTTAAGTAAAGCTCACTGTTACTTGACAAAGAACCTAGCCACTCATCCAGCAAGCAGTTTCTTAGGCACGGTTATGTTTTAACAAAATTTTCCATACAATATTGGTCTAGATATACATTTACTATGAATTGTCCTGTTAAAGAAATTTTACAATGAGACAACTACAATTTTGTCAAGATATAATAGTTATATCAATCACACCTCTTGTTTTTTTTTTCGATTTATACTCAGTCTAACTATAGGTATATAACAAAGATAAGGGTTATGTATGACAAGATGAGTCGTAAATTTAGAAAAAAAAAATTAAAAATCTTTGAAACACCTAAAATTCATTCTTATCAAACTTAGCAAAAGAAGGAGAGATTCAAATGTTCCATATTTCATGTTGCGTTTATTGTGTGCTCTATAAAGCTCAAAAACAATTATTTATTACATGGATGAAAAACATTATTGAAATTAAGAAAATAAAGTAATTGTTATACAAAAACCAAGCATAAAGTGGTTGTAAATGTTTAAACCATTGTTTGTGTAAGCAGGCGTTGAATATTCCAAGCTAACGCCTTATAGCGGGTACATGAAGTATTCTTGTACAATAAAAAAATAACTTGAGAAAATATGTTGCAAAATAAATAGAAATTCCGACTCCCTATATATATAAAGTCTTTTATTTGAATGTTGATAGTTATTAATATGAATATTTAATATAATGTTTAAAATAGCTTAGTAGTAGAGATATTTCTTTGTTGTTGTTGTTTTTTAAATTCCTTTGCTTATTTCAGATATTCACACCTTTTCTTTTCTATTTGAAGAGTCAGGGCGACCGAAAAATTGACAACTCGTGTCGTTTGTCATTTTTTAAAAAAAATAATGTAATATTTTAAAACTTTTATCGGGATGTAAATACGGATTGGTCATGTGATGAAATCCCACAAAGCCCAAAGGGCTTTATGGTAGATTTGATCAAGGACCAACCTGTATTAAAATCCCGATAAAAGTTTTAAAATGATACCTTATTACTTATATTTACAGTCGTGACTGATTTTTAACAATTATTTGGGTACTTAAGTATTAAAGCCATGAAATGTTTGGGGGTTTTTTCCAAACCTCAACGAGTTGAAAACGTCGACCACTTTTGACGTCAATATGAAATTGCGTCGATTTATATGGAATATGGAGATGACGAATAGTATTCAAGCTCAAACAATACAATACAAATAACAATAAAACAATACAAAATAGGAGCAGAGCAAACACTGACCTCTAAAAAACATCAGAGGTGGGATCAGGTGCTATGGAGGAGTAAGCATCCCCTGTCGACCGGTCAAACCCGCGTGTGCTCATTGTCATGATCGGGCAAATGGAAAATTCGTAGACAATTCAGTGTGAAAATAATGGTGTAGCAGTTTGTATGAAAAACGTCAGTCAACAATCGACTTGACGATAGATTGTATTTGCTAAGGTCATTGTATGGATCATGGAAAGGTTTACTTTAAACAGGACTGTTAATATCCTTTTATCATCTGATTTGTCAATAGCTTGCCTCGTTCTAGAAATTGTTCGTATCGTATGTAGAGTATATTCTTGTGTATCGGAACAATTCCATATCGAGTGATATTGGTATATTGCTACATAAATAAGGGAAGATGACAATAGAAAGGTTGAAGTCATCACGTTTATCATAAAGCTTTGTTGTTACATAAAATGTTAACGTCTTTTTATTTTGCAAAATAAAGCCCAATCAATTTATACAGTATTATTACTTTTGACATTCAAAAAAACAAAACAAAACACATTACACAATTTTCAAACGGCTAAATCTTCTGATTTGCTTCGTTTTCTAGAGACAAATTTCTTATTTGATTTATTACATGTAATACATGATTTATATCGATAAAATATATAGATTAGACAGAAGGTGCCTACTCCTCCCTGACGCCTGATTCCACCTCTGGAATTTCGGGGAATCCGTGTTTTATGCCCTGTTCACAGATTTGTATCGTTTGTATTTTATTTAAGATCGATCACTATTCGTTATCTTCACATTTTTCATTAGTTAGTTTGTCTTTGGAATGAAATATATGGAGATAACGAACAATACTCATGCTCAAAAGTCCATTAAACATTACAAAATAGGAGCAGAGCAAACACGGACCTCCAAAACATCAGAGGTGGGATCAGGTGCCATGGAGGAGTAAGCATCCGCTGCCGACCGGTCACACCCGCAGTGTGCTCCTTGTCATGATCGGGAAATAACGGAAAAATCCATCGACAATTCAGTGTGTAAATAATGGCCTAACAATTAGTATGAAAAACGTCAGTCAGCATTTGACTCAATGATAAATTGTATTTGCTGACAAGGTCATTCTATCGACCATAAAACTTACAAAATGATGGCTTTAAACGAGACTGCTGATATTCTTGTTTCATCAACTTCTTTGTCAATAATTTACCTCGTTTTAGAAATTGTACATACGTAGAGCATCCTCTTGCGTATTGAATCATCTGAGATATATAAACCCCGTATGCAGGTGATGAAGGTACATTGCTGCATAAGTAAGGGAATTTGATGATTGAAATAAGTCTACGAATATTTCTAAAATACATTCTTTAGGTTTACAGGTGTGCAATTATCGTAGTTCTTGAAATTAAACGTGTACTCTCCGAAATCTTATTCAGAGTACTAGTATACAGCGGGTATTTGGATAAACTAGTGTGTGTTTTCATGGTATACCGAACAAACACGAATATGAAAAGTGTGAAATACCAAGACATTATTTATTGAAATGATGGAAAAGTTAAATTGAAGATATTGACGATTGAAAAGTTGAAATCATCACGTTTTGTTGTTAGATTACCATTAACGTCTTTTCCTAGGAAAAAATCCAAATATGAAACGTGTGTGTCAAACTCTGTGGTATTTTTTATTTCGAGTTCAAATGGATATATCAATCAACGTAGGAATGAAAATGAATATTGTTAACTGATAAATACATGTATATCTAAATGTTGGATTGAAGGCCACAGCAAGAGACTTCTTTTTTTTCATATAGAAGTTTCTTTAAATAAATTCTGCTTCATTTGAAAGATAGGTCAAAGATCATACAAATATAGGTCTGCTAATAATGGGGCACAATTAGTATCCATGGTAATTCCGACAGATTCTTGATATCCAAAAACTATACCTAGGGACTGTCAATCAGAAATTCAAACATCTTTTTAATATCAACTTCGGAGTACTTGTGCGTACAATCAGAATGTTTTTAACAAAATAATTTTGCTAATGACCAGTGACAAGGTATATAAATTTACGAGTTCCGTTTTCATTAAAAAATCAGCTGTCTGTGATGTCAAAAAACCTGGACTTTAATTAATCGTGGGGAATGTTAGTATAAATTGTTTTTAATGTTATTTAATTTTGGTAAAATTTTGTAATTTCAAATATTCTGAAAGAATAAATTTTATTCTAAAGGGTTTCCGTTTCGGAAGTTAACGAAATTTTCGCGCTGTAAAAAGAACGTAAGTTAATTTACCATGTAACTGTATGTTAAAGGTTTGCATCTCAAAGTAAATACAATTTCCTTAGTACATTTTACGATAAATTTAAACTAAGCTTTCAGTAAAAAATAAACAAAGTAGTCCGTCGGGACATGTGTGCGCAAATAGTTACATTTGCCTGATGCCTCACTAAGAATCAACTGTGATCAGCCAAAGCCGATCACAATTATTGATAACGCATGTATCAGTGCGTAGTTTGTATAAGATTGTTTTTATTCGTAAGTAACTTCCTTTATGAAATGTTAGACTTGTCTTCATTCGTACAGTTCTTCCTGATTCAGTGGATCTGCGTCGACATAGTCCGATGTGTTGTGGTTTGACTGTAATTTCGGTTGTTTTGTACCTATGACCTCTAGGTTAGTTCCCTTTGGCTTACTAGTCATGCCCAGGTAAGAGTGTTCATATCCCTTATTTGATGACACCCCAGGGGTCGATTTCATGATTTTTGGTTGCACAGAACCAACTTTATGTGGTAATTCAGTCATAATGTCTGCTTCATTTATTTTTGAATAATTTGTGTTATAAATTCCAGTGCATCCTTGTTTGTGTCCAGTATTCTTTCTTTGTGTTCCAGAAGTCTGCGCTGGTTCTAAATAGTGTTCGTCACGTGTTCTTGTCATGATTTTTGGCTCTATGTAATGTTCCATTTCATCATCTTTTGTCACTTTAAGGTCGTTTCTTTTCATAGCTTCGTAAGAATGCAAATGTTTACTTTCTGTTTTTAAATCTGTTTCCATGTAAGCATGTACTGGTCTTGTTGTGTTGCTGTATCAAAATGAAAAATCATACGGATCTAGATTATAAATGAAAATTAAACTGAGGCAAAATGTTTACTACTTAAAATACCAAAGGTTATCGTACCGTTTGTGCTTTAGTCTGTAGAGCTGTACTGTTACTGGTATTATGAATATTAGAAGCAAACCAATAATGAGACCCATTACAATTAAAGCAGCTGTAAACAAAACAATGAAAAACCCCGTAACAATTAAAGCAGTTGTTAATAACCAAAGAAAAAACCTATAACGATTAAAGCAGTTGACAACTTGTAAATAAAAGTTAAAGTTTAAACTATAGGCAAGAGAAAAATCCAAGGCATATAAAAATTAAACACAAGGGATAAGCAAGCGACATGATCGCAGCAGCGTCGCAACTAGCTGTAGGAAAAATGTTAACTTTTTCCTGTATAATAAAAGGGTCGTTCAATAAGTAATACGGTTTATCAGACAAAATGTTGAAGTATTTGATTTTTTTTACAGTCGAAAAGTTCTATTAAAGGACTCTTAATCACCGAAAACTGCATGCTTTTTCCTGCTATCTTCGCAAAGACATTCACTTGTAAAGTAAGCATGGTCACTACACTGAACTGAAAGCTGTTTAAAAATGATGTCTGCCAAGAAGATAAAAATAATGGCGTATGTGAAAACTGTGCTACATTATAAAAATCACTGAAGAACCCATATGAAAGATATGCTTTGATATCAGATGGATTAAGAAATTCAAAAGTAGAAAAAGGAGAGTTAAAAGATCACAGTCGGACTGGTCGATCGAAATCTGTAGGGACATTAAATTATCGATGCTGTGACCTACATGTTATCTGCAAAATGCCAGATTTACATTGAAAGACATTGCTAAGACACTAAACATTTCATCACCGCAACAGTTTATAAGAGTTCTGAAAAAGGAAATGAAGCTAAAGATATTTCTATTAGATGGGTGCCTTTTTTCCTTACAGATGGAAAGAGAAATCATGTGCCAATAGTCTAATAACAAATAAACATTTTATGAAAAGAAGATATGATAAACCTGGGTAATGGATGACGAAACATGGGTGCACTCTTTATAGCCCAAAATGAATATCAAAGATAATAATGAGGAATCAAGGAGAAACCTGTTGTCTATGTATTGCAAAGGGAAACAATGGCTCCAAATATGTCTTACACAGGTCTTCCTTTTACTCAAGATGTCCAGAATTGCATGTATATACACCCAAAGGAAGGACCATCAAGGATAACTTTTTTGTAACAATTTCACTGAGGAAAGTTAAGCAGGTTTTCTGTAAGGAAAGTCCAAAAACTGGTCCTCAGGGTAATTTTCCTGTACTTGACAACGCCGATGCAATTTAGCATAAAGAAACAAAGGAAATTGTAAAGAAAGGAGAGTTTACAGAGCTAAGTTATCCCCTGCAATCGCTAGATCTGTCACTTTGAGGACTTTACAATTTCAGGGATGTCATTGGGAAGTGCTATCCATCAGTGTCTTTTGAGCATCATTAAAGATGAGGATGCTGAGGTGTTCTGGTCATGGGAACAAAGACTATAGACATGTCTATAGGTTAACAGGGATTGCTTTGGGGGATTAAAAACAATAAGAAATTGATTCTCGTGCTTTTCTTATTTTAGGTGACTTTTTGCATTACTTACTGAACGACCCTCGCACATTATTTTTGGAAGGCGTCATCAAGCCCTTGTCTCATTGTAAAGTAAGACGGGTATGAATGTAAAATATAGCACTTACCTTCGTTTGATTTGCACTGAACTTTCCTGAATTCATTGAATGTATCGGTCTCTGTGAAAAACACATATACTAAGAGATGTAATGAAACACAGGTTTCCATTTTAATTGAAATAAAATCGTCATGATAAAATACTTCAAAATCTTGATATAAGCATTAAGGATTTGAATAAAAATCATTGTTTTATTAATAGTTAAACATAATGTGTGTATATGATGAAAGTTTTTCAGTCCAAAAGTATATGATAATACATGTCTATAGAGAAAAGGCGAATTAAGATTTAATTAAACTTATGCTCAATCCCATTGTATAAATTAACAATAAAATATGTTCATATATATATATATATATATATATATATATATATATATATATATATATATATATATATATATATATATATATATATATATATAGTTTCCATTTTATAAACTTAGGAACGATTCAGCCGTAATGAGAATAGTGAAAGAGAACTACTTCATAAATCTATTTTCACCAAAACTGAACAAACATTAATTTTTTGATAAGTTCATGTCTTTCTTGCATAATTAATTTCTTAAATACTTTGTTTATTGAGACTGAGAAAATCATGATTTATTGTCCAATTCAATTTTCCCGAACTTTTACGTTATACTATGACGTCATGGATTTATTCCTTCCCTGCAAAGACACTCATGACGTCATGACGTCATAGTTAACGTTACCAAGCAAAACAAATCAGTTCAAAGTATGTACACCTGAAGAAGGATTGTTAAATCCAGAAAGCGCTTGTGTTAAATGAAATTTGGAAACTTTGCATTTTCTTTTTCTTTTATGATTATTTTTACTGTGTGACATCATCTTTTAACTACTTCTGAATTATATATATATATATATATATATATATATATATATATATATATATATATATATATATATATATATATATATTTATTTATTTATTTATTTTAGGAATGACTCTAATTCTTGGCCAAATTATTCGAGTATAACCTGGTTTGGGTCAGTTTACGCTTTATAATCCGCGAAGCGGATTATAAAACAGCGTAAACTGACCCAAACCAGGTTATACTCGAATAATTTGGCCAAGAATTAGAGTCATTCCTTATAATTTAATTCTAAAATCATTAAACAACTGTGGGTGTAAAATTTCGTTGCTTTTTATTAGTTCAAATTTGCCGCTCAATAATACAACCCTAGTAACGGAAGTGATGGGAAGCAAGGGGAGGTAAAAACTGATACATAGTCCTAGCAGCCATGTTTTTTGTTTACATGTGGTAAGATCCGAGTTACTGTTTGAAGCTAAAGGTACATTTATTAAATCTAGAATTTTCCATGAATCCCGAGGACTGGAGATGAGAGGATTGCATGGATACAGACGATTCAGCTGGTTGTCAGGGGGGGGGGGGGGGGTGTCCCCATACCAAACCAGGTTATACAGAAATAATTTGTGTTCCTTTTTGGATATTAACCAATCAGAGGCTAGAATACAAACAAAATTAAATTATATATATATATATTCCAATTCACTTCCTAGTAACCATAGTGCACCCTCCTTTTACCACATTTGATAAATGTTTTAAAACTCGAGAGACAGCTATTAGATCATTCAATTAATTATGATTAATTATGATAATTCATGTTTCCGTATCAGTATATAAAGTCTGTATTAATATAATATAATAACTTGAATTAATTATTTATTTCCTTTATTCAATTTACTCTCTAGATATAATGTACTTTGGAAAACCTACCGCTTGGGCAGTTATCTCCCTTACACACACATCCTCTGGCCTTACTACAGCGTTGTGTGTGATCACAATTACATTTCTTCAGGCAAAACTGACCATAAAAGCCATCAGGACAGATTTTGGAGCAGTTGATCCCCATAGTCCCAGACTGGCAGGCTACATGTATAAATAAAGTAATAAAAACGCCCTGTACTGTTTTCTCAGTACGAATCGCAAATATATCGTGGAAAAAATCAACTTTATTCTGTTTTAATGCAAGATGTGCATCAAATCAAAGTCGAATTATCCTGTTTCTAGTTATTTAATGACCATTTGAACTTGAAATTTAGAAGGTACTTAAATTACAACACTACCCTGACCTCCACAACTGCTTATCACGACCATTTCTTTTAATATGAAGTATTGAAGATAACAATGACAATGACTTACCTCAAAAATCCTATAAACAATACAGACAAAAATACTGTAAGATTAGGTGCCTATGAAGATTTTGAAAACAACTGCTTAATAACAATTGGTATGAGATATCAGTCATAATTCGACCCAACCTAATTGCTAACAAGAGGCCCATGGGCCACATCGCTGACCTGAGTACTGAGGCTAGGAAAAAAGCAAAAATCAGTTCAGTATTGAAAAGCTTTAATGCCGAGTTCCGACTTACCCGTAAAAGGGGGGTGGGTATGATTTGAACAAAATTGAATCTAACTAAAGATGCTTACATATTTCTTTGACTGTGACTTTTCCCCCATAAGTTTGAACATATGGTCCCACCCTACCCTTGGGGGTCAGGATTTGAACAAATCTGAATCTACACTATCTGAGGATGCTTCCATATAAATATGTCCAATCATAGCTTTGCTGTTCTTGAGAAGAAGATATTAAAAAAAAATTCCTATGTATTCCTATGTATAACTTTAATCATCAATTGTGGCCCCACCCTATCCCAAGCTGGGGGTCATGATTTTTATCAAACATGAATCTACACTACCTTAGGATACTTCTGAATAGTTAATAACCAATCATGGCTTTGCTGTTCTTGAGAAGATTTTTCCTATATATCCTTATGTAAAACTTTGATCGTCCATTGTGGCCCCACCCTAATCCAGGGGGTCATGATTTGAACAAACTTGAATCTACACCACCTTAAGATGCTTCCATATAAATGCTTTGTTGTTCTTGAGAAGAAGATTTTTAAAGATTTTTGCTATATATTCCTATGCAAAACATTGATCCTCCATTGTGGCCCCAACCTATCCTTAAGGGGTCATGATTTGAACAAATTTGAAATTACACCACCTGAGGATGCTTCCATATAAATATTACCAATCATGGCTTTGTAGTTCTTGAGGAGAATATTTTTAAAGATTTTGGCTTTATATTTCTATGCAAAACTTTGATCCTCCATTGTTGGCCCCACCCTACCCCCGGGGGTCATGGTTTGAAAAAATTTGAATCTACACTACCTATGGATGATTCCACAAGTGTTTCATCTTTCCTGGCTCAGTGGTTTTTGAGAAGAAGATATTTAAAGATTTTTCCTATATATTCCTATGTAAAACTTTGATCGTCCATTGTGGCCCACCCTACCCCCGGGGGTCATGATTTGAACAAACCTGAATCTATACCACCTAAGGATGCTTCCACCAAAATATTACCATTCATGGCTTTGCTGTTCTTGAGAAGAAGATTTTTTTTAAAGATTCATCCTATATATTCCTATGTATAACGTTGATCGCCCCCTTTGTGGCCCCACCCAACCCCAGGGGGTCATGAATTGTACAAACTTGAATCTACACCACCTGAGGATGCTTCCATATAAATAAGACCAATCATAGCTTTGCTATTCTTGAGAAGAAGATTTTTAAAGATTTTTTACTATATATTCCTATGCAAAACATTGATCGTCAATTGTTGCCCCACCCTACCCCCAGGGGTCATGATTTGAACAAACTTGAATCTACACTACCTCAGGATGATTCCATATGATTTTCATCTTTCCTGGCCCAGTGGTTCTTGAGAAGAAGATTTTTGAATGATGCCATTAATTTTTCACTAATTTATTTTCTCCCCTTGGAAGAGGGCGTGGCCCTTCATTTGAATGAACTTGAATCCCGTTTACCCAAGGCTACTCTGTGCCAAGTTTGGTTGAAATTGGCCCAGTAGTTCTGGAGAAGAAGATGAAATTGTGAAAAGTTTACAACGACAACTACGCCGACGCCGACGACAACAACGACGACAGACAACGACAAATTTCGATCAGAAAAGCTCACTTGAGCCTTCGGCTCAGGTGAGCTAAAAAGGACATCATATTGACCATAAAAATCTGTGAAATGCTGAATTTAAACAAGACTGATTCTTCGTCTCGTGTGAAACTTTTTGACTAAATTCTGCTTCATGAGATACAAATACTAGTAAAAGATCACAATTTGTGTTTATGAGATTTTCCAACAGACTGTTGGAAGACCAGGTCTCCAAAGGCTACATAGATAATATTGGCAATGAGGAGCTCAGTATCCTTATATATTTTAAACTTCAGAGAGTACTTGTTTGAAGAATCAGAATGATTTTAGCGATTTGTTGATTTTAAATGACAAGTCACAAGCTGTTAACATTTCCCAGTTCAAAGATGATGTCAAAACAAATGTACCCGTCTGCCTGAGTGTTGAAGAAAGAGGGAGAGTTGAATGCGTATTCTCACCAAATCAAAATTTATTCCGCATGTTCACTTAATCAACAGGAGGGGTAAGAGAGAGTAGCTTTAGCTTTAGCTAAATCTGATTAAAATGTGTACTTTCTTTTCAAAACAAAACCAACATAAAAATTGAAGAAAAACTGCACGTGTGAGTTATTTCTTCACCAACTTAAAAAGGATGAATGCCACAAACACAATTTTTTTTCAAAATTCATGAAAAAAATAACAAATAAAACTATGCTTATTTAAGAAAAATGCATAAAATTTAATTTTTCATTCGGTCTTTCTTAATTATGTCCTATACTATTTTTAAAAATGAATAGATTTATAAGAGTAAAGGCAAAATATCAAGAAATTCCAACATCATAGAAACTTTTTCATAATTCAGAGATTTATATATGCATCATTTACAACTAAAATCAGTCAAAAATATATACCAATTCATACATCGATTTATTTTTTAACATATGTCGTCGTAGGATTAGAATTCAAATATTACCTTCTTCAATGGTATTTATTTGTTGTTTATGTTTCTACAATTATGACTTTCCTAAAAGATCTGTTTTTCAAATATTGCACTTTTTTATTCCTATAAGACATAGGGGTCTTAAAAGTGTTCACTCCATATGATGATATCGTAACTTATACATTCTCCGCCTATGTCTAAGTTTTATCTATCTCTCTATATGACAAGAGACAGTTACCTATATATTCTCCGCCTTTGTTTAGTTCTATGTATATGAGAGACTGCTACCTAAATATTCTTCGCCTATGTTTAGTTCTCTCTTTATGATAAAAGACCGTTACCTATACATTCTCCGCCTATGTTTAGGTAGTTCAGGCAACAAGACAGTGTTGCAGGATTTCTACAATGGGGAAAAAAAGGTTAGACATTCTTCAAACATTTTTTAAAGTGAAGCAAATGCCTGTATGCTGCTTTTTATGAAATGCAAATAAGATATATTCTTTACACTCTATCTGTAGAAACAGATGACATTTTGATTAACAACTTATTTGCCCTGTTTACCATATCTACAGCCTAACGTCTCAAAACTTACACAATTTAAATGATTAAAAAAATCTACGTTCTTTAAAGCACTTTCTTTTTACAAATCATTCGATTAATCTAATGTAGCTTGAATCATTCCTTGTTTCTTAAAGATAATAATAAAAAGTTTTGTTTTTTAATGAATAAATACTAAAAATCACAAAGTAAAAAATTACATACCCTTGGTTTGGACATTGTCCTTGAGGTTTTTGTGAGAAACTAAAATTTAAAAAACCGACAAACCAAAGGCGAAATAAACTCTTACTAGTGCTTTGACAAAGAAAATACATTTCTTTAAAATTAACATCCATTCATAACTGTTACAGTTGTTGAAAATCACGTATATATGTATATCAAATGACGGTGTACATTTCCTTCATATAATGTTTTTATTTCCTTCTATCTTATTTAACTCGAATGAAATAGATTGTTTCCTCATATTGGAATCGTGGAGTTTTAAAACTTTGACAAAAAAACTAGGAATCACTCTTGGTGTACGTTCGTGCCTTTCCAAACATCCATGAAAACATAACATGGTCCAAACCTCCTTACGTTACGTATATTTTTTCCCAAAGTAATCCATAACCTATAGATAATAACTTCCCAAGAAGACTTGTCTGACTTCAGCAACAAAAATTGCAATGAGATTTAAACAGTTTCGTTGAACGAGGGATTTATCTTATGCAAAAGTACTACATGTAAATGTACTCAGATTTCTTCCAGCCTGAATGAAAAAAAAAAAAGTTAAGTTAGTCCTCTTTTCAGTCCCTCAAAAATTCAGATGTTGTTATCTTCTTTGTTTCTTTAGATTTAAGTAAATCAAAAAAGGCAAAAACGCTGAGAAAACACCATTGGATCGACAGACTAAGAAAGTGATTTTTTTTAAGTCTCAATCAAAATAATTCTCTATGACATTTCAATCACAAGTAACGTTAAAATGTATTTCATGCAAAATCTCCACAATTTATGTATTGTAAAAAAAAAATGTTTTCCATGATATAGCACGTACACAACAAAGGAGGCAAAAATGATCATCTCCCCATACTATATCATATTTTTCCTTATTACGGGGCTTCGCTCAATATTTTTGACAGTTTATCTTCAAAGTATGCAAAGATGTAGATTTTTTGGTTATGTGCTGTAAGGATCCACTATGCCTTAACAATGCACATTATAACTTTTCTTAACATGTCAAACTTTAATAGCTACTGTCCGTATCTCATCAGACCGTGCTGCTTTCCCCATTCCTCGAGGACATAAGAGCTTTTGTTATTCTGCTTTTGATGGTTTACCAATGCTGACTGGCAATTCTGCCTTTTCTGGTTGATGTCTGGTGGGTGGTTCAGGGACTGGTCGATTTAAGACATTGTCGAAATGCTCTGCCCATCGCTTGAGCTGTTAATCATTTGTTGCAAGTGAGATTTCATCTTTATCTTTTACAGGTTAGTCGGTCTGATGGAACTTGTCCACCAGCTTCTTTGTCACCAATGTTTCCCTGTCCTGCTACATCTTCTGTCTGCTTTGCTAAGCTGTCAATGTGTTTCCTTTTATCCTTTCAGATATTGACCTTCACTTCTCTGTCAGTCAGGTGCCGTGTATTCCTCTTTCTTCGCTTTCTCTGCTCTTGTTCTGCTTGTATAAGAAAGGTTTTGATTTTCTCACCTCCAGCTTTTGCAGGGCAGTGATAGTTATCCACTCCTTATGATGCCAGGTTGATGACGCGCTTTCTTTCTGCCCAGGACCTCTTCACAATTGTCCAGCCAGTACGTCCTCTTGGTTTGCTGCCAATGTGACTCAATATCCATTTCTCCCTCCCTCTCAACTCTAGTGGCTGAAACTTATTTCACAGACTGAGCTGGAAGGAAATCTGTATATTCCTGCTTCTAGGCAGGTCCACATTTAACTGTGTGACAGAATTTTTGATGATAGAATACTTGTTCAGTCTCAGTCTTGCTGACGTATCTACAAAATGTTGATCGAATGTCACATCCGCACCAGTCATCATCCGTACGTCGCAAAACGACCTTCTAAACTTCTGACTGATGCAGAGATGGTCAATTTGATTTTCTTTGACATAGTCTTGGAATATCCATGTTGCCTTGTGTATCCTCTTATGGCGGAAAACGTTGCCTCCTTCTTCCAGGTGGTTCAATGCACACAAGTTTGCAATGCACTCGCCATTTTTATTCATTTCTCTCAGTCTGTGTGTTTCCATTACATCTTTGAAGTCATTGTTGTTCGATCCCATCTTAGCATTTAAATCACCCATTAAGATTATTTTGCCTAAGACTTTTTGCCTATTACGTCAAACGTTTTGTCTTCGTTTGTTTTGTTGGTAGGACCATAACACTGGATGACTTTTACTCTTAGTGGCAAATTTGGCTGTGATGATAGGTGCACTGATAATTTCCCAGCCGATGAGAGTATATTGTGCAACTGGGGAACGCATGAGGGCCACGCTATCCATATGCATGTGATGGGCACCTTCATCTCTATGCCCAGAATACAACAGTTTTTCTCCTATGTTAAATTCAGCTAGTCTGTCTCCTGTCATCTTGTCTCTCTAGTCCTAAGATAGAGATGTTATAGTTTCTAAGCTCTCATGCTACTTGGGTGGTCCTCCCAGCTTCATACAATGTGCTGATGTTTCAAGCAGTTATATCCGCGTGGTTTTCCTGAAGGTGAGAAGGGTGTTCGACCTGATAATTTCCTACCAGCTGTCGAGATATTTGAAATCCAGTTCATCCGCATCATTGTTAAGGCTACATAAAGAGACGGGCGCTATTTCGTATGGGAATTTTACTGTGACATCAAAACAAAATAACATTCCTTATAATACCAGAAAATGAAATAATTTGCGATTTCAAACTGTATAAGAGTACTAAACTGCATTAAAACTCGCCACTGCATTCATTTTTGTCGTTAGTTTTACCGCACAGGAAGGTAAAAACAAGTAATTGATCACAACGCACTTGTCAACGTGATCGACATCATCATGGCAAAATTTGATGCATTTTATTGCAGTGAGAGGCAGATCAAGTAATTTTTTCACAATAAAAATGAAATTATTAGTAAAAGGAATATTATTCACAGGTGCTCAATGTACCATTAATACCAATGCATATTCCTTGTTTCTTATCAAGAAAGCATATTGAATTTATATTATGAACAGGGATATGGCATGTTAAATATCGAGTTACCTCGTTAAATCACCTTTTGGCAAGAGCATACACTTAATAAATCTTGGCTTTTTTTAAAATATAGATAATGGAAATGTTCCTTAGCTTAAAAAGTGCTGCTGCTTTCGTAAAATCGAAATTTTCTTAATAAACACATAAATATACTTGGTAAAGATCACGCGTATTGCAGCTGGAGTCCCATTTTATACTTGGAATTTAAGCCAATAAAATGGGACTTCTATTTAAAGTAGCAGCGCTTTCCAGAGACTACAAGTAATGAGGAAACAATTTATGAATTAAAATTTTATTTTTAATAAGGGTACTATGCACTTTCGATATTGGTATATGACATTCATGCAGTACACAGTTTATCACATTCTTTACAAGAATAAAATCAGTTCTAAAAGGTTTTTATTTATGCACCTCTGTATTCCCCAATCTAATTAAAATTAGATTAGATTTTAGATCCGCTCGCATACTCGCTACACTAAATTAGTGTAGCGAGTATGGGAGCGGATCTAACATCTAAGTTTAATTAGATTGTGCCTTCATCTGTTTTCTTCCAAGTACGTACGCCTTAAAAGTGCTGCACCAAGGGTCAATTTAAATTCCATCACCTGTTATGAAAGTATGTGTTGGTCTCGGTGGAAAAAAGATGACATACAAGATTTTACCGCATGGGTCCAGTCCCCACGGAAACCTCTTTTTTATTCCATATAGAATCACTAATGCATTAAATACTTAGTCCACAATTTCCCACGCTTTATCCACACGTGTATTTTACGGTGATTTACCAAAGAGTAGAAGAAATACAGATTGTGCAAATTAGAAGAGATATTGTAAAAGTGTTGAAACCAAGAATTTTCTATTGTGAGTGTTTCCTATAGATCTATCGTTTTACCTCTGTGTCAGTCATGGAGCGAATTCCAGTACTTTCAGTGCTTTGGTCTAGCATCCAGCTTTAGACATCGGGTTCGGCAAACGAAATAAAGTTGGACTTCCTTTCAAGCTTGATGTCTTGACCGGTCGGCTGGTCGGGTTACATCGCTTTAGAAAACACCATGGCTTTGAATATAAGTAGATCAGCTGTCCGTTATTTGAGGGTATGATTGTTCTTTCATATGAACGTAGAAATGCAAAGAAAATTAAAGTTAATATGGTTTTAGTAGTTTTTTAGATAAGGGTTATTGCCCTTTGCGACCTTCACTGGAACAGAGACGAAATATTTTGTATAATCAGAGATTGAAGAGGTTGATTTGGTTGTTTAACTTAGTGATACACGTAAATTATCTGATAAAAAGCGTAAGCCGGCTTTTGGTGGGAAATTAAATGCGTATTTGTTACTTAGTTCGAATTTCCTGTGCTATTTACGATGATTTTTTTTAAATTAAAATTGTTTATTTGCAAATAAGATTGGAATTTAAGTTCGAAATTTAAGGAGAAGGTCAGTTTTATAAATATTACATAATAGGGTAAAGACTAGTAATCGAGAGAATTTACTGGAGCAAATGAAACAACAAATAACTTTCACCAGTAAGGTCATGCATTCCGTTTTTACAGCAGGCATATGCTAGTCCTCAGATGATGAGAATATTTCAGAAACAGGACTAAAATATTGTCATGCAGAGGAACAATATTTCAGTTAAATGCTCTATGGGTTTTAATATAGTAAAATGTTTTATATTTTTTAGGGAAGGCATTATGGAACTTTGGCACCACTTGCACGTACAGAAAACTCAAAAGTATGTACAAAGTTCATTATTACTTTCCATATTTTCATAAAAATATATGCAAATTTTTCAGTTAAGTAGAAATACTGTTTGTAGCATTAATTTTAGTTACCCACTTTTACTCAAATTGCACTTTTCTCCATCTCTTTTAATAATCTTTCAGTACCAGTGAATTTTAATGCATATTTATTTCTTGAAGTCATTTTATCAAGAAAAAATGTGTAAAAACAAAACTGTTGCAAAACTGAAGCTCATTTAAGTAGCATATGGTCTGTCCTTTGCACAGCTGACAACTTTGGGAAATAACATCCAAGTGACCACACTTGACAACATCAACACCAACTCCTCCATTGGACAGGTGTCCTTCTTCTTGAAAGCTGGATCTAGATATGAGTCACCTTATCAACTAGGAGTATCACATTACCTCAGAGCAACTGCTCTCAGTGTAAGTTCTATGTATGTTAAAATTTGCATTGGACATGGATATACACCTTAAGGTTTTTAACTCACCTGAGCCGAAGGCTTAGTGAGCTTTTGTAATTGAAGGGTGTCCAGCATCCATCTGTCACCTGTAAATTGTTCACAGACATCATTGAATATGTCTGCAGAGCTAATGTTGTTCATAACACCATGTACACTGAAACAACATTGTTCATTTCTTAAATGAAAGCCACCTCATATTGTGTATTTAAATTTTGTTCAAATCATGACACACAAGGCCACAATATGTGATCAGAGTTTTACATAGGAATGTGTAAGGGGGGGGGGGGGGGGGGGGGAAATCTGCTGATGAAGAACAACAAGCTATAGGTGAGTCATAAGAGCATTGTGGCCCATGGGCCTCTTGTTCATGATGCATATATATTGTATTTAAGAGGATCCAAATACATGGGAAGATAACTCATTATTTAGTATCCATATGAAGCTTTGGATTGATACTTCCTAAACACTGAGAAATTTATAGACTTGTGCATGGGGCAACAAAAGTATGAAGGCTCTTCTGCTCTTTGGGACATGTTACTGACAATAAAAGTTTACATGTACACTCAGGCATTGTTAAAATAATTATATCACAAGGAAAAGTGGCTTACATGATATTCATGCGATTATCTTTTTATTTGAAAATTATGTGAAAATCATGTGAAATTATATAAATATTTTTTTCATGCAAATATCATGTGAATAAATTTGTATGATATTCACATATTTTTTTTTAGAACTTTCATGTGAAGTTTTCTTTCCACAATATTTATGCGATATGTTCTTCATGTAAAATTCATATGAAAGTAATGTCAAAATGCCTTGAAGTTTTCACATAAATTTCACGTCTTGTTTTTCGTCTCTTTCTCGTGCAAAGAATTCACAGGAAATTCATGTGAATTTCATATAAAATTTTTGTAAGCCACTTTTGCCTGTGTAAAATCAATTTCAACATAATTATTGATCTCAGTAATCATAGAGTGCAGAGAAATTCATAGTCCTGTGAAAAAGGATTCTACTTGTATCTTTTGTCTATCTTTTTAGAACACAGGACCTTTCTCCGGGTTTAAACTTATAAAAAACATAGACGAAGCAGGTGGCAACTTAAGGTAAATACAAATGCTAGTTTGGGTTTGTCTAAGTCAATTAGATTTAGAATAATGTTATGCTGCTATTATAAGAAGTCAAAGAATTCTTCTAGATGTATTAGAGAAAGCTGTAAAAGAAATATTTCTAAAGTCTTAAAAGTTATCATGTAACAGGAGGAATCTACAACTGAGCACGTTTTATTTATTTACAATAGTGTTCAGACCACAAGAGAGCATATGATTTATACAATAGAGGGTCCGACATCAGAGTTGTAAGTAGGACTTTTTGGATAACATAGTTCTCTCTTATCATTTACATGTATATGTTTATAAAGTGATATTTTGATTTGGTGTTTTTGTTAGTTTTTATAAACCCTTTCAATAAATGAAAGTCTGCACTAACTAATGTTAATGTTAAAGTCATATATGGCATATATTTGATAAGTTCAGACTAACTAAAATTAAAAGGATCTTTCTATTTGTTTTATTACTTTATATAAAGATAGGACTTTCCTGTAAATTACACAATATAAATCAATTGCTTTTCAAAGATATTCAAGTTCAAAATCGGTGAAAATTTTTATTTCAATGTAAAAAACAATTATCATGTTCTACACTCGATCTCGTATTTTTATTTTTTTAGCTCAGATACGCCATATATAGCTTTAAAGTTCTTTTTTTCAATTTTAAGCCTGCTGACATCATAAAGTAATGCTTGAATGTACAACAAGTTATGTAAATGTGCAACAAGTTTTCTTATTCTGATTAAAGAGAGCCATCAAATTTATATTCTCACAGAGAAGGGTTTGTGAATTACTTGGGTGCCATTTTGACAAAGCCCACTTTTGAGAAGTGGTACTTGAAGCCCTGTGAATGGCGTGTGGTAGAAGATCTGGCCCAGTACAAAGCTAATAATGACCAGAGTTTGTATTCTCTTTTTCTGTTTACTTAATGTAAACTCTGTATACAGATACCATTAATCTTCTTACTATGGTATTAGCGATGTATGGACATTAATCCTGAATATTTTTGTGATTGATGAATTGCAAATTTATTTGATGTTTTGATAATATAATGTTTTGTGTTACAGTGGCTTTTGAAGATCTGCACAAAGCTGCATACAGGTACAATCTTGGGAACTCTGTATACTGTCCTGACTCTATGGTTGGCAATGTTGATGGTGATATGGTAAGACCCACACTGAACATGTTTCAAAGTACACAGACTACAGAGAAATTGGCCATTTGTTTATAATTTTTCAAACAATTGAGTAGCTTAAAGGTTAAAAGTCAAACAATTGAATAGCTTAAAGGTTAAAGGTCAAACAGTTGACTAGGTTAAAGGTCAAACAATTGACTAGGTTAAAGGTCAAACAATTGTTTTGAGAAAGACAATTATAGGATAATGTAAATGCATTTCATTTGACATGCACAATATATGACTGAAATTAATTGATTTTTCAACAAATTAGAGTAGATTTGATTTAGCGCTTTCTAAATGAGCTTTATATGAATATAATTTTAATACAGTTCAATGTATATATTCACAAAACATTCAGAAATGTACTTGATTTAGCAGAAGCCACTTTCTGATTAAGCATAAGATGCTTTCTGTGAAAGTCGCTAAATAGAATTAGGCCTAACAGCCAAATGTATTAACATGTTTACAGGTTTAGTTTGTGCATAGAGAATTCAGTAGATTTGTTTGCTGACATAATTCAATACATGTCTAAATAAATGAAATGAGTGCAGTTATTAAATCCTCATTAATCTTAATACTGTTTAAAACAAAGCTATGTCTGTTGTATATTGAAGTATGATATCTGTAGGCCTAAATGGCCCAAAAATTACCTCAAGGATGCAGCTACCTGGTACATTGACTAAAAACAGATCTTTTTTAGCTATTCTCATTTATAACAGTTAACTGTGTAAAAATCTTTTAAGATTTAAACTTGACCTCATTCATTTGATGTAAGAAATCTTTATTTAACAGCATGCCAATTAACTGTATAATGAATCAAACTGACCATTTGTTATTTCAGATGAAGTATTTCATGATTGACCACTTTAGAGGGGAGGACATGATGGTAGTCGGCACAGGCATGCAGCAGAATCTTCTGGAAAAATTTGTAGAACCCCTAGAAACACTGGATCAAGTCTATGAAGAAGTGCTGGATCTGTTACAAAACCCTCAAGGGCGTGTCTCGTTTGATTATGGGGAATCTGATCTTGCCCTCTCTGTTCCCAAGAAGTCGGAGGTAGAAATTGTAGACATGGATGATATTTTCAAAATCCCACAATTACCTGCTAAATACTATGGAGGTATGATTTTGTGGTTACATAAAAGAACACATTTTATGAGTTCTTTTTATTTTCTGGTTATTGCCCTTGGCTTCATTTCTTTCTCCATGCTAAGTCATGAAATAACTTTGAACATCTTTAGGTGAACTTCGCACCCGAACAAAAACACCTGATGCTACTTTTCTCTTTGCTAAGGAAGGGGTTAGGTAAGATACCACTAATGAGTTACCTTTCAAATACATGAGAGATCTTGGAATATGTTTTTCTGTTGAATACTGCTCGTTTACGTAAAATTCAGTTGAAGACTAAAACTTCAATAGGACAATATAGAAATTGTATCATGCTGATCGTTTCTTTGAAGCATTTGTCATTTATTTCAGCTAATTAACGATTAATTTCAGCTTCAACAATGAGAAGGAACTGCTGGCCTCTGGAATACTCCAGATGATCTTAGGAACCGGAATCCAGATCAAATACGGATCAGGTGGAGGCAGCAACAAACTCAGCACAGCAGTTGCTGAAGCCAGCAACAACAACTGTTCAGTAAGTATAAACCTGTCTCCAGGAACTAAGCAACAAGTTTATTTTACATGTGAGACAAATTACTAAGAGATTAAAAAAAAAATACTGGATCATACTCAGCTCAAAAAATTAACTGTATGTTCTGTTGATTTATTTCCAAATTCTAGCTATATTCTTTGCATTCAAAGTCCTTAAATTTAATTGCAGGCATCTGCCATCAACATAAACTTCAGTGACTCAGGATTGTTTGGTTATGCTGTGAAGGGCCATGGAGAGGACATGAGGAAGGTTAGAAAATGTTAACGATCAACAATTATAATGACATGAAACAGTGATTGGTTAAACATGTTTTAATTGAATAAAGCACACAGAAAGTGTTAAAAACCAGCTCTTAATTAAATATCTTCATTTCATTTATTCGTATTTCATTTCTCCCTCTCTCACTCTTTATCTTTTACTTTGTTACTTTATTATTCTTAGTTTAACCTATGTCTACATATATTTGCAGTCAATAGAAGCAGCTAACAAAGTCTTTAACCAGACAGTCAAAGATGTGGCAGCCAAGGACGTAGAAGATGCTAAGTAGGTGTCTTTATCCAAAAAAAAAAATCAAAAGTTTACAAAATACAGTAGATACATAGCTTGGTTTTTTCTCCAGCTATAGCAAAAACAGTTTAAGATTATCATTTCATATGTTGTAAGTGGCATTGTTGTTGTGTCTTCAGATGCCTTCATGCTTCAAAATGAAGATTCTTGTTTTATAGTTTGTAAGTGTAATTTAATGTGCTAAACAGGTGATAAAAAGTTGCTGCTGCTGTGAATTGCAGTCATTGTCAAACCTCATTGTGTCTTTTTCAGAAATAAATTAAAATCAGCCTATGCTTTCTATGCTGAGAAGGATGCTAACTTGATATATGAAGTAGGAACAAGAGGAAAAGCCCTGGATTTTAACTCTATATTCTCATCAATTGACCAGATCAGCCGACAAGATGTTGTTAAGGTAGGAAATTCAAAAAATGGTATAGAGCATAAATATGTTATGAATGATAGAAATTAATCAACCACAAAATTGTTAAAAAATCTAAACTTGCAAGTCTCATTATAAACATATGTATAGTTTAAAAGAAAATCAAGGCATATATGAATCATAATGTGTTGGAGATGATTTTATCTACATTATTCTACATTTTATATATCTAATCATAGCAATATTTATAAACTGTAGATTTTGAACAAAGTTAAAATGTTCAGATAAATATATGTTATTGTTTTAATTAGCTGTCTTAACTTTTTTTTTAATAGATAATCAGCATCCCAGAAAAATAATTCTTTTTTTTCTTTTTACTTTCAGTTTGCAGAGAAAATGAAAGCGAGTCCATCTACGGCCTCAGCTGTGGGGAACATAAGTAACACACCTGTGTTACAAGAACTAGAGTGATCATTGTGATAACAGAAACATTGAGACAATATTAACTGAATATCAGTATCGTTTTTCTTTTGAAGTCATGAAAAATAAATTATTTTCCAAAAAGGTGTACAGTGTTTTTGATCAATGATCTATAATGTTTTACACTCTTTCTGTCCTTCTAAATATTCATCTTATTAACAATGTAGTTAAATGTTCTCCTGTGTACAGTTGATGGAGTATCCAGTTACAAACTTTGCAGAATTTATTGTCCGTCTCCTTGAAGCAATATGTGTGCCATACTCATCTTTCAAATCTCCCTCCCTACCCCCCCAATTGCAATACATTTTCAAGTATAATTGGTGAATTAAAACAGCAAACATCTTTAACAGCCTTTATTGAAATACATGTATCTCCTCTTCATCGTCACAACTACTTCTCCAGTTCTCGTTCACAGTTCAGCTTTACTGATATTCAAAAGGATACAATTGTATACGACACCACTAATGTATATAAAGAAGTTCATGTAAATCTTTTTGTGGATAGCATCTGTAATATCCAAAGTGTTTCTGTAATAATTTTCTATTCCATAGCATATAATACAAGGTAACACAATATAGCAGTTTGTGTTGTAAGACGAATTTTCCAATCGGACGAGCAGAGCTTTGACGCTGTTTACAGAGATGAAGGAAAATCAGAAATATAGACAAGTATATATAAGCTGATTAAGAATTCGATTAACAAGTATTAAACACTCTATAGATGATTGAAATGTCTTTTTCATGATCCTTGGGCCAGTCCTTTAACAGGATGATCAAACGTCTTAAGCTCAAGTCAAAAACTATATGTAATGTATTGGAATGATGTAAAGTCAAACTTTCCAATCAAGATATTATTCAAATTGCATGACCAAAGTGCTGTTATCTGCAAAGATAGAGTTTTCAATGACAATAAAAATCTTACGATTTTAATAAAGAAATTAACTTAAGCTGTCTATGTCATGGTCCTGGGGCCAGAAAATGTCGATATGGTAGTGTCGAGGCTGCAAGATCTCGTATTGCAACGGCACTTTCCTGTGTACTTTTAGACAGTGACATTACCGTCTAATATTTTAATAATATCGGAAATATTTTGCCTTAAATATATAAAGCAGTATTTAACTTTGGGTATGACGTTCTTTAATTTTTTGTAACATGGGTATGATGCTGCAAAACACAAGAGTTCACGGAAACAGGACACAAGTTCGACTTCCGGTCCTGAGGTCGGAATATTGGAATAGGATCACGTTTCATATCTTCAGGGAACGTCCCGGTGGCCATAAGTAAACACTCTGTCATCACAAAAATGATGCAAGTACACATCTCTTTTTTTCTGAAGTGTGTATATAGAATACCACGAGCAAATTAAATACAGATTCATCATGCATTATTTCGATCAGCTGTGCAACGAAAATGAAATAAAATCTTTGGCCATCTTCAATCACTTTTCTTAGTGGGAGAGAGATTCAAGAAACGCTTAAATAGCTAGCACATGTCTGTTGATGCTAGTAAATGTAGATTTATTTATTTAAATTTTTATTGTATATATCTGTGTTCTGAGCTCACAAATATATCGCTCCCTGCCTTCCAGACCTAATGCCTACCATTGTGGTTCCAGTGATGGAAGATAAAAGAAATTCGTTGCGGTCGGCATGGACCTTTGAGGAGGACCGAGGTCTGAAATGGTCCTTCCGGTCTCTTTTGTGGGTTTTGAAGCTGGCAGGTCTTCTTCATGGAGTTAAAACAAAAGAAACGAAGAGTGACGAGGGTCACGAAAACGAGGAGAGTCCGACGACCAAAAGCAAGAGGAAATGTTCGTTCTGGCTGGTGTATGACATTGTCGTGTTTTTGATCCTTCTGGGGAATTTCGGCAGTTCTCTGGCCACGTTTAAAAACGCAACCAGTTTGGATGGCATGGTCTGTAATGAAATTATTACATGTACTTGGTTCCTACAAGCGGCCTGTTACGCTCTAAATAATATTATTGGTTGTAGGAACTGGAATGCTTTTTTCGAGAAATGGGACGCGCTGTCTAGAAGTCTTGGTTTCAAACATTTAAAGACACCCAGAAGAATCTCTATTGCAACTTGCATTTTGTACACCTGTTGGTTGCTGGCATCATTTGGATTTATGGGGATTGGAATGTACTTCATTTCAAGCTCCGGACCGCCGCCTCCACAGGATGCAGCGTCTATCATTATCAAAATAGTCCAGATGATTATTTACTACTACTTTGTTTCCGTGTGGTTTCTGTTGACAGCCATGTTTGTCATCGCCTGCTACATCATATACATAGCTTTCCGTCATTTCAAGAAAAAGTTTGTCGGTACCATAACCAGTGACGGGAAATTCAATGGCGACATAGAGAACTTTCGTCTACAACACATGAAGTTGTTGGACATGCTGTACACGGCAGACGACATCTTCTCCATGTACGTGCTGGTGACGATTGCGACGATTATTCCGTTGATAATCTTTACGCTGTACTTTGTCTTGTTTAAAACAGTGAATACATTTGCATATGCCGCCACCTGGTGGTCTGTGGGTCTTAGTTTCATACAGATCATCTGTGTCTTCATGGCGGGAGGTGTAGTCAACCACGAGGTTAGTATAGTCCATGTACCATTAAAACAATCCCTAGCCCCCTTAAAAATGCCGGAACGAATTATAAATGTAACAAATATGTTGTGTGGAAAACTAAGATCAGTTCCTCATTTCTTTCGACTTTGACATAGCTACTTCCCTAATAATTTATTTGAGATAAATGCTTGTATCTTATGATTTTTAACTCTCACAATTGCGTTTTTTTCCTTTTATGTAAAGATACTGTAATATTAGCTTTAAGAACCAAAGACTTGGTGATCCTGGTTCATCAAGTTTACAAATGAGAAATACAAAGGCATTTCCTCATCAGAGTAAATTCATCGAAATTATTTACGCGTCTTTGTAACTCAATTCATTCTAAAAGTACACGAATGAATAAATATTTTGACAATTGTCAATTCTATTGTAAACTCTACAATTGATGCACATGCCGTATAACTAGAATTGTAAACAGAATTTTATGCTTGGCACCTGTAAATGATTTCTGTCCATCTTCCATAAATAAACACAGGTTTCTTCTGCATCTGAAATTCAAGTGAAAGAAATAATCATGCTTTGATATTTCAGATTTTTTCGTATGAATATTCCTTTTTTAACAAAATACTTTTAACATTTTCTAATCTACTACGATCGGTGGATTTGTTAATCCCAAGTTTTCTAATTTTTATTTAATCTTTAGAATTCATAATAGTTAAAAAAAAAATTCTAAAACTTTCTCGACAATAATTATGCATAGTGTTTTTCCCCTCCATTTCCGAGTTTTTCCAACAATTGGGATTGAAGAGACCTTTCAAAAAAAAAAAAAAAGAAAATTCAGTGATGTTTTTAAAATGGGAAATACTATGGTATATCTATTTTTTTTAAATATAATTAATGAATTTTAGATGATGTATAAAATGTGTAATAGAATTTATCAAAAAGCCCTTGATTTATAAATTCCTTATACCCGGTATAAGAAATAGAAATTTCATATCCGCAAATTTTTTTCTGTGTGGTACGTAAAATGTTTAAGGCATCGCATGTAAATATTTTGTACATTAAAATTATTATATTTCTTCGACTTTTTTTTAGTAGTAGAAGTATCATAGAATTTTTTTTTATTATTTGCGACTCTGTCCATATATATAAAGTGCTGCATAGAAAGATGAAATCCTCCACCATCAAGTCAAAATCAGTGCGTTCGAATGATATTCTTGAACTTTTTTTCTTTTTTTTTTTAAACTAAATTAGACCTTCAGCATCGATGCACATTCTGGGCAACTAAGCACTCGTGTCTAAGAATTAATACATCGCCTACTGGAAAATCCAAAAAAATGTCTAAGTTGTATGGAATTACTGATCCCTTTGTCATTTTTGCACAGGCCCATGCTGTATTATCCAGTATCTATACCATAGATTTACGTAACATGTCGCCAGGGGAAAGTGTTCAGGTAACTAGATCTATTACATACTTACGAACCTTTATTTGGACTAACCTTTATGAACCTTACACTACTGAGGGAGTTTTCTCCCCTTTTTTATCTGTAGATGACCACCTTTTTGACACAGCTGACCAGTAATCCTATCGGCTTCACGGCGTTTGGTTTATTTACAATTGACAAACCAACCATCATCACCGTAAGTTATTCTTAAAATATTTCTTAATGGCATATTGATGTATAACAATTATATAAATTTAGAAGACACACTTTTCTGAGTAATGAACAATTCTAGGACGGTACTGGTGCTCGAAAAAACCGCTAAAAATTGAGATAGGATGATTTTTTTTTTTTTTTTTTAAAATCCGACATAAAAGCACGCAAGTACAAAAATTCGTATTGAGTTTTGACGGTTTTATTGTAAAAATTACACTTTAATTACTATTTATAATCATAACGTCAGGCTGTTTATTTTTTTCCTTTGTCCAGTTTGCTGGCAGTATAGTCACCTATGCCGTGGTGGTCATTCAGTTTAAGCCGTCGGGTAATACCCTAGATCTGATTAATCAGGCCCTCAACTGCACCACTCCCTGATGTGGAAGTCACAAAAACACCGGAGCACAGGCACATGTTTCGTATACAGGGCACTCCCTCCTAAGAGAAAGAAGGGGGTGCCATGTATACACGTTTACGAAACAAGCACCTGTATGCCAGAGGCTTGAGACAGAAGTATTGAACTAATGAGGAGTCTTTGCTAACTTTTGTATATAATAAAATTATGTGTTATTTTTATGGTCTACCTCTCTACCTAGTGACAAACATTCCTATGCACCTGATTTCTGTAATGTGTTGCACATCTGTCAATAATTTCTTGTCATTTCTTGTTTGTGTACTTAGATCTTAATAGAAATTGTAGGTACGAAATATTTGATTTATTTTATATGTAGCTGGAAGTTTATGAAAATTCGTTCACTCTATATATGTAAAGGTACATTGTATTAATTTTTTTGAAATATTTGTTAAGTCATTGTTGTATACTCTCTCGTTTTAATCTGTCTTAAGACCCCTTTTTTACACAGATAGACAATTAAAACAGAAAATGACAACTTTTCAATAAATGCAAAAAATGTCGAATTCTCTGTGTGCGACTATGTCAAAAATAAATTATATATGATATACCAATCATGACTTTGCTAGAGGATAGAAATGTACATACATATGTAATTATATTTGTATAAAATGCTTTATATCACTTTTCATAATAAACTCTACAGAATATAAAGGACTTCAAGTGAAACTACTGAATAAGATATTTTTATTCATTATGGATGTTTGTAAGGTATAGAATAAAGAACAAAATGTTCCAGAGAGATCATGTATTTTAGTGCGATATTCAAACTGTATACCCTACATGCAATGTCGTAAATATGGATTGTGATGATGAAATGAAAGACTGACGTAGATTTACGGAGACTGACTGCCGTTGTCCGGAGACCGGGATTTTATGATGTCCTAACAGAATTTTCATGTTGGTTCAAATTAGTGATAAGATAAAACTGCAATGCAAGATTATCTATGTCCCTTTCAATTTTGTTTCCCTAAAGTAGAATATACTCCACCTAAGGATGTTTGGGAAAAGGTCAAAAGTATTCGTACTTTTATATACTTTACCTTGAAGTTTGACCTAGACCTTTCAAAACTTTTAACATTGTTCATAACTTTTGAATTAGAGAATACATGTATAAGCTTTCATATCTCAAATGTACATTACCCTTCTGACATTACCTTTCTTTTTTTTTTTACTTCATGACATTGACCTTGAAGTTTGGCCTATTTTTCATATTTAACGTTGAATGTAAGTTTTGCATTTGAAGAGACATGGTTTTCATATTTTTCATGTCCAAAACCTGTGACAAGACCTTTCCCCATTTATGATGATTTTTGACCTCATGACCTTGAATTAAACCTGCATTAAAACAATTTAACCTTGGAAAATATTTAATGAACTTTTTTTTTTCAAATGAAACGCTTCTTATGAAAACAAGGACAAATATTTATATGCATTGAACCCCCCCCCCCCAAAAAAAAAAATCATTATGTACGTATATACGATGTAACTTTATAATGCAAATATACTAAATATGGATACCAATGTTAGTTACACTGAAATACAATTTCATAGATATGAACTTATGGTGATAGATATCTTGATTTTCAGAAAAATGATCAAAATTCATGCATGCAAAGTGTCAAAAGTTTCACTAAAATAAACCGTTTTCAAAGTTATTACAGTAGTAATCCAATGTCAAAGTTATCACTATGATAGTAAACTAATATCCATTGATAAATGGTTCATTTAATTACACAACCTAGGTTTTATCCAGTATGCGCCTTTTTTAATTTTACCAAAGATATCTGTTGAAGGCTTCTATTTTTTTTTCTACTTTTTGAAACCTAACATTTTTTTTTCAGATGAATGGAAATTTCAAGAAATTTCTACACTGAAGAAAAGTTCTCTTATTTTAATTTTTGTAAATATATATTAGTATATTAGTACTTCAAATCAGATGTGTTTAGATATATATATATCACCTTATACATAGCGATATAAAGTACTTGTACATCAAGGTGATAACTATGATAAATCAAGTGTTAAAGTAACTGTACTCTCCATCGTGTCGAAGTTAACTATTGTTAACTGTAGGTAATTTTTGTGCGGGTAGCTCTAGCTTAATTGTGCGCCATTGCCGATGTGACAAGAACCATTTTTTATGTTCCAGAACCCTATGTGAAAATTAAATACAGATATAGCAACACTCATTCAAGCTAGTGAGAACGTCTAAACAGAAACATGGGCATTTGTTGTTTCTGGAATGTCTGGCAATTAAGGTTCATAAACCCTGTGCTCAATCATATAAATGTTGTTTTAACTTTTATGATTTTCCGGAAGAAATGTATTTTATAAGTAAAATACAAACAATTATACTATAGCTTGCGAGGTAAAATTAAACAAAAAAGACATTTCAACTTGACAAATCTATAAAGTAGTAATAGAGATTTATGTCATTAAGAGTTATCTCTCTTATCAGAGTATCAATGAACCTTAATTAATTTTAGTTAAGATAACATCAGGGTGGTGGTGAACATAAAGTACAGGGGGAGGGGATCCAAAGTTGTTTTTTTTATGTAATACAAACTCTGTAAAATATGAGTCAGGAGTTCATCCTCCAAACATTTCCATCCCCAACACACACACACACACACTTACACACATATGAATAACTTCACATTTTCAAAATCACTGCTACAGGCTTGAACATTAAACATAACTAGATATTTAACTAGTTTTGTTATACCCTTATAAATATCTTTCTATATATTTATTACAAACAAAAAGTCCAACAAACTAAATGTTTTTTTTCATCGGTCTAACAATTTTGTTGACCGGTCTGTCAGTCCAACATAAGAATTGTTAGACCGCAACGTCACTGCGTCACAAGTAATTAGCCGTCGTTTAATATCGGCGACACGGAAATAGCCGAGGTTTCAAGTGTTACAGCGTATGCTTTTTGAAAGATGGCGTCACGGGGAAAAATAATATTTTGTGATAAATAATTTCTGTGTTATAATATTTTAATGATTTTTTTCATTCTTTGTTGTTGTCATTTTTATTTAAAAAGCCAAATTTTACTTATAAGGAAATTGTTTAATTACTGAGTATATGAGGAAATATGTTTAAAGGTTTTAATTTTAGTGATCTATCTTAAGTGAAGGGTATAACAAAACAGTTATAGACTGGGTATGAGGGCAGCATATGATTTGTTGGACCTGAAGGTGAAAATGTTGCCCGAGGCCGCAGGCCAAGGGCAACATTTTCACCTTCAGGTCCAACAAATCATATGCTGCCCTCATACCTAGTCTATAACTGTATAATATATCATTTTCATGATGTTGGATCAATTTATCTAGACAATTATTAGGATCAGTCTGAGTGTCCGTCCTTCCGACTTCATTATTTTTTCTCCCGTTAGCCAAGTCAGGCTCAAACTTCACGCATAGATTTCCCGTGGGTAGAGAGTATGCAGTGACCTTGAACCAATTTTTCCAACCAAAGGTCGAGGTCGAAAAAACCTCTTTATGTCATATCCTTGTTTGGAACATATTTTCTCTTCCTTTGGCCCAGTTGAGCTCATACTTCACCCATAGAGGGTCCGTGGGTAGAGGATGTGCAGTGACCTTGAACCAGGTTTCTAAATAAAAAGTTAAGGTCAGAAAGTCTGTTTGCATGAAAAATCCTTGTCCGAAGCATATATTCTCCACCTTGGACCTACCTAGCTCAAACTTTACCCATAGAGTGTCCATGGGTAGAATGCGTATAGAGACCTTGAACCAATTTTCTGGTTCAAAGGTCAAGGTCGAAAAATCTCTAATGTGTAAAATCCTTGTCCAGTGCATATTTTTCTCTCCCCTTGGCTTAGGCAGGCTCAAACTTTATCTATAGAGTGTTCATAGGTAGAGGGTGTGCAGTGTCCTTGAGCCAAGTTTCTAAGTTAGTGGTTATAGCAAATCTTAGTAAATTTATTTTCATAAGCATTTTTTCTGCCATTGGCCCCATTCGGCTCAAATTTCACCCTTTGAGATAGTCATCATCTCAACGATGTCGTGTTACAGGTTGTCATAACACTTACAAATATTCGGGATAGATGCATTAAAATTATTGTCATTATCTGGATAATAACAGAAGTGAAATGACCTCCAGCTAAATAATGATTAAAAATCTTTCGCTATTATTCTTAATGTTTGCACAATGCACATTTTCAAACAATTCGCAGATTAAAATCAATCAATTGTCCGAAGGGCATTTTTCTCATTGAACTCTATAATTCCAGATACACAAAAATTGAAAAAAAAATATACTTTATAAAAATGCAACCGTTTCTTATTTTCCGGGCTGAACTAACCTCTGTATATATGTCAAAGTATTTTTGTTCTTTTTAAAATGCATCATTGAAATAAAAGAAAAATTAATAATAAATTAATTAAATTTTGATTTAAGATTGCATATAAATCTTTCATTAAATATTGATTACCGGTATGCAATGGTCCTTTAAATGGTTGATTACAATTTGAAATTAGAAACTATGAACATAATTTTTTCAGACTTGCTCCAGCTGACAACATTTAATGATATGACGTAGAAAATATTTTATTCAGACTTGAAATTGATAAATAATTTTATCTCTCCGGCTAATGTTCATTAATGTGAGGAGTTAAGCTTATCTTATACAAACAAATAACTATTATAATAACTGAAGTGTAGGTTTGAGTTGTTTTCTCGTCATTTTGCGTTAGTGTGTATATCGGTAGTTTTCATTCACCCCTGCTGAGAAAAGGGAGTGTATATTGTGATGGGGATGTCCTTCCGTCCGTATGTACGTCCGCCTGTACGTCCGTAACCTTAGGGGTACCCATCTCTTATCCACAACTCCTCCTATACCACTGAATAAAATTTAATGAGACTTTCATAGAATCTTTATTACATATAGTGCCATTGTGCACCTCTTTTGGGGTTTCTCACAGCAAAACCTGAACACTGCCTTTCCATAATAATTGGGATCCGTAACTCCTCCTATACCACTGAATAAAATTTAATGAGACTTTCACTTTCTTTGTTATATTGAGCCCTTGTGCACCTCCTATTTTTCGTTTCAATCAGACAGATATTTGAGCTTTCCCATAGCAAAAATAGACTTTATCATTATACTAATATGAGAGCAAAGGGTATCATTTTGTGAGCTCAGTGCTCACATCTCCAGTTTTTATTGTTAATGAAGTTTATGAAAGCAACAACAGCATTTAAGTATACACACAGTGGAAGGTTTTGTACATTTTATTTATTTTTGGATGCCTTTTTTTATTAATACTAGATCTTCCTTAAAACTCCTTCCAGGTTGATCGCCAAGTACGTTACAAGTTACATGTAGATAAGCACTTGCGAAGCAAAATATAAACTGAACATAATATTACGTAGTGGACGGAAGGGAATATCAAGTACAAAGGAATTATTTGCTACAAGAAAAGCTATAGATTTATATCATTCATCTCTTTATAGTGGTACTAGTATCTTTATTGGCGTATAAATTGCATATATTGCCATAAAAGTATAGCAGTAATTTATAAACATTGATCAACAGTTGCTTTATAACAAAATTGACCAAAAAAAATGATAAAAAAGAACTCATACTGAAGTGTTATTAATCTTAATTAAGAGTAGAATTTTCCGTCTTTAAAACATTCAAACAGAAATTTCCCGAGCTTTTTAAGTATAATTTCTGAGTCCGTCCGAATTAAGCAGTTCAATTAGTTTTATCATACTAGGTCTTACATAAAAATATTTTTTTTAATATATTTTTCTTAACTCAGTCTAAAACTTACATGTGTAAGTCAGAACGTGACGCGAGAGAGACAACTTTACAACAAAAATATTTGCTCTGCATATTTCAGGACTACGAACAAGAAGAAGGATAATCCTGCAGCATAAAAAAAGTGCTTAACACTTATTTTCTGTAGCGACGATGCAAGTTCTTTAGTGAGAGACACATCCTCACTAACGTCAAAATCATACATCTTCTCTATCTCTGGGGTGTAGTCTGGTCCATTTGACTGTCCGTCACTGAAGTCATATTGCTTGTATCCCGACAACATTTTTGCATCATTTGTTTTGGCATTCGGTGGCAGATCTTTAGGATATTTAATTTGATAATCTGAAAACGAAGGAGGTGGTTTTGAGACATAAAAACGGACCCCTCCGGAGGGCCAGTGCGTAGTCATACATCCACATTCATAGGCCACTTTCCTTTTCTCGTAATCGTCTTTTGTTGCCCATATTGCTGGTGTCATACAAATGAAAATTGTGAAACGCCATCTCCCTGGATTATTTCGGTTTCTCAAGGGTCTGGCATTAGCATGGACCAGCCTGGAATCCCATAAAACCATTCCTCCTTTTGGCACCGGAAGTCGAATCGTTTTGCATCCCTTATCTTTGAACCATTCGAAGTCTTCATCTCGTAAGTGATAATATTCGTTAATTGAACTTTTAAATGCCTGCTTTTTGTTGAGTTTATAAAATTCATCAAGATACTTGTGAGAACCTTCCATTAAATGAAACGTCCAATCATCTTCATCTGTTGTTTCGAGGTACACGCCTCCTTGGTAGGCGTGGAGTCCTTTTCTTTTCGCTGATTGGTCAGTGTGCAGCCAGTGTTGTCCTGGTGACTCAAACTCCTCTTTTCCATCTTCTGGTGGTCGTCCTATAGCAATGGCATCAACACTTGACAATAGTTTGTCTGTGTTCCAGAGTTGAGCAAATACAGATTTGGTTTTCAAGCGAATCTTCCAAGTCGTTTCGAAATTTCCGGTATTGTACTGGTTGATCAAAGATGACTTACTTCTGGGCCAGTCACCATCTTTGAACTGAGCTAGCCATTCTCTGTATTCGGCGACATAATCGTCACATTCAGAACTCGGCAACACCCCGTTGATCACTGTGAACCCTTTATCGTTGAGCTCCTCTCTATGTTCATCCGTCAGCATCTGCAACCAGATAAACATTTATAAATAATTATGTTTTTGCAATATAAAGGGGTATTCTTAAGACAGGCCGGGTAAATAAGTTCAAAAGATAATATTAGGGACTTATATACTAAAAGGAAACAACACATCTTTCATTATACTAGCTTCAAATGAAAATTTTAAACAAAGACTTGTATACACAGTAGAGTATTACACGACAAATAGGTTTTCAACAATGTAAAGCAATCCATATGATGTTGCATGTGTGATCAGGATCGACCTATAGTCCGCTGCTAATGCGACAAAACTTTAGCATGAAAGCAGTCTATGGTGTGGTGCCCCCCCCCCCCCCCACCACCACCACCACCACACCACACACCATTCCCTTTGAAAAGAATTCGTGATCTTAGTCAGAAAGGTTAAATTTCAAAATTCACAATGAGGCATTGAATCTGCCAACAAGAGCTTGTCACAGCCCCCGACTTTTCCATCGGTGGGGCGTGTAGATGTCCTTTATACACTGAGGAACCAATATGGCTCCCCCGAAAAAACGTCCCATCAACTGATCAACAGTGATCAAGGTTGGAGTTACTGCAGCCATGACCTCGAAGACACAATCTTGTCTCCTTACAGAAAAAGAACCTTGTATTTCATGGAGGCTATTATTTCGATAGTATCTTGTGACAGGCAAACAGACAGACAACCATATCTATAGATTTCGTTTAGACTGCTCTTTATCTCTGACAGTGAGTCAGTGACACTACACAACGCTGTTTTAATTGTATGATTTGAATTCCAATGAACATTTACAGTACTATTTTAAATATTATAAACTTACCTTAATAGTTTAATCTGAAACTATGATAGCGGATTGTGTGTTTATATTTATATATGCTGTAATCAGGTTTATTTATAGAGCATGCAGTGACGTGGAAATGGACATGTCAGGGACCTGGTTTATCAGCTGTTTATGTCAAATGTTGGACATTTAAGAGTGAAAATTTAAGCGTTGCGAAATCCAGTATTTTGTCAGTTCTCCGCTCTGTAACAGTTCTAGAGCTAGCGCCATATTACATACATGCAGCTATTGATCGCATTTAGCCCTAAACCCTAACAATGCGAACCTGGAACTGCGCGCTCGATTTGAAACGTGTTACAATGCGATTCGCTTCCGGATTATAAATATGAAAGAGATTAAATTTATTCGAGTGTATACTCCAACTTAGGGCTGCCTACCCGACATTAGACACAAGATAGCTACAGAATGGTTGTCATAAGGTTCCGTGCAGCGAATGTAATATGTTATTACATGATACTTAACGTTTTGTATCTTGGAAAAGTTGCTGGTGAAGAGGGCGGCGAAGGTAGTATGAAATTAACAAAGTCCGAAGGTGAGGATGAAATGCCAGAGGAGAGAGAGGGCATGATCCGCCTCTCTCCTCCTAAACTGGACGACGAGGAACAGAACAGCCCACATATGCCCCACGCTTTACGATGTGACGGTTGTCGTGCTATCGCTCACCAGGTATGTTGATCTTCTCTATATTTCATGAATATGTAGAGGTTAAATGTATTCCAAATTCTTTATAACTTTTTAATGAAGTACACAGACATAAACCTAAAAATTACTTTAAGTTTAGCATTCTGTGCATTTATTACTGCTTGCCATGCTGACCTTCACTAAAACACGAATGAGAAAATTAAAAATATGAAAAAATTTGTTTATTCTTTTCTCAGCTTTCTTTCGAGTTCTACAGGAGACATCGGGCCAGATCAAAGCTGAAGAGACTGACAGAGTCTGATGTAATGGAAATTGTGGAGAGGGTCTGCAGCAGTAATTTTGACAAGTCAGTATTCTCATCAGCATTCAAGTTTTAAACACCTACTTCTTCAACCAGACAGCACCAAAGTCATGAAAAACGCACCAAAGTCATGAAAACTGTTCAATAAAAAGCCAAATTAAAAAGCTAGAACAATGGTTGACATTCTATAGTAAGATTGGTTTGTTTAATGTTGTTACAGTTATGGATTGAAGGCTGTTGATGGTGTTAACAGATTATCTGGTCCTGGATTAGAGACGGAGAAATCTCCGGGGATGATGCAGGGAGGGGGAAGATGGCCAGTCAGGTGGGCATTGTATATTTCATGTGATTACTGGTGGTGCTTTATACACCTGTAAGCAGCACATCATAGTCCAGTCAATTTATCATGAAACATCAAACTAATTGCAAAACAATTGTTTGTGTTATAAATAAACCCTATAAAGCACAAAATAAATGTAATAAAAAATCTTAACAAAATTGGATGAGGGGAAATCACTATTTGGGGTTCATAAATTTTCTATGAAAATAAGTATGGGAAAGGGGCATAACTCTTGTCAATTTTGTAAATTTTGTTTAAAATTTTGGTGGATTTTTCTACCTTGATAAAAGAGGACATGAATTAAACTGTTTATTACATTTTTAACAGTGAAATACTGTGATTTATTTATTGAATAAAAGTTATGTTCTCTCACAGTGTGAAAGGATATCAAAGGGATATTCTCTCACAGTGTGAAAGGATATCAAAGTAAGTAAAATATAATTTCTGGCCTGTCATAAGTAACTAAACCATCTTGATAGAGGCTAAAACTGCCAATTTCTACCCAAATATGTTGTTAAAATCCATGTTACAATGTTTTCAATCTCACAATTGCTAAGCTACCAGGTATGATGTCTCAACTGTTCAACTATGACGTCACAGCCTATGACACTCGATCTGTTAAGAAAAGACAGAGGCAAAGGGAAAATCAAAGAAAATGTAATAAACAGAAAATTCAATGTTTTGTAGTTGGATATGGAATTTATTTCACCTGTAAGACAGGATTTTTTTACTATTTTATCTTGTGCTTTGCACTCTTGAAAATATAAAAAAAATCCTGTCCCACTCGTGAAATAAATTCCATATTCAACTACAAAACATTGAATATCCTCTACGTATTCGTAGGCTTCAAAACACATGGATATAAATGTATTTGTATTTTTTCATGTTTATAGGCTATAGAACGTGTAATGCACATGTGTAATGCATATATTCATATACACAGGCTTCAGAACATGTGTAATGCATACGTAGGGGAGCTGGATGAGGAGGGAATTTATGAGGGATATATTGAAGATAACACTCTGGAGGACTTCCTGTGTCGTAGGGAGGGACTGTTTGGTTACTGTAAAGACACACCACCCCCAAAGAAAGAGGAACTCTGATGTTTGTTTTACTCATAGGAAACAATCTACTTTATAAGATCAAATAACTCCTTAATGCTGTAATAAAACTATAAATATTTATTTTATTTTACTATCTGTATTTACAAGTAAGTGTTTTACAGTCATTTGTGTTCAGCAATTTGGTTTTTTGTCACATAATGTTGTCAATTAGGCCAACTTTAAAAAATATTTGCTTGCCCTCTCCCGACCCAGGATGAAAAAATGGGTTGGAAGGTAGGTGGGAATTTTTTTCCCTAGAAAATTTCAACATCAATGCTGAATTTTCAAAATTTATTTTCTGGAATGCATAAAAAAATTATTGCTTCCTGGAGGTTAAAAAAAGTTTTGAGTCAGGTCATTTTTAGCCAGTCGGTCATGAGAGGGCGACCAAACAATTTTTTAAAGATGGCCTTATCAAGAAAATATTAAAAAGTTTTCTAAATTTTATCTTTTTAAAAATGTTAAAATTTAAATAATGTTTTAATATATACTTATCAATTCAATTTTAACTTTTTAATCTAACTATTCAGTAACATTCCATATTCATCTGGATTCAGTTAAACATTTTTATGTTATTTCAAGTTTTTTTTTTTTGGTGGAAATATACTTTCCTTAGCTGGAGATCAATATTTCATAATCTTCATCCTTTTTTTATAAAAAATAATGAAAGGTTTTGTAAATTTATTATTTCATTATAACAATAAGTGATCTCTTCTTACTTATTTATATGTAGGAGAAAAAATGTTTGTTTTTTATTTGAAAAGTCTAAATAATATCTATAATGGCATTTAAATATTTTTCAATTGCTGCTTCTTAATTTTGTAAGAAAGTGTTAATCATTGTGTTGGCCAAAATCTTATCTGTCAATCAAAGGTGATTTTTTTTATAATACTTTTTAAAAAACATGATTACATTTACTTTGTCCCTTGTCTCAATTGTAAGTACTTTGTCACAATCTGTCAGCATAATATGCAATTTATCACAATAATTGTTAAGTACTTTTTGACCACAGTGTGAGTACTTTGTCATCCTTGTTTATACTTTTGAAAGGTTGACAGTCTTTCACTACAATACTTATTTTTAAAAATCAGTATTGCTATTGAATATTGATCATCCCAAGTTCCCTTGATTTCAGAATGATAAAAGCATTACAATGCAAACATTGTGTTGATATGCCTCCTATAAATTGATTTGATAGTTTTTTTTAGGGGGGGGGGGGGATTTCCAACAAATAAATCTCCAACTTTAGTCAAAGCAATATTTTATTATTATTAACCTGTTGTTTTTCTTTATGAATAAAAATGTCTATAATACCCTGACTGTCTAAAAATTTCCTCTATACATAAACTTAGTGCACTCAAAATTGAGCACAATCTTCCTCATCAACTGACTAGTGTGATCAGGAAGTAGTAAATTTGGCACCATGCTTATATGTGTATTAATTTATATCATATACATGTATTAGCATGTATTTGAATTAGCAGACAAGAAGCAAGAAAGGCGCTAAATAAACAACTAAAATGAGTATTTTTACAATATACAGTAAAACATACTATAACATAGAGCAAACAGACTTATAATAATTCAAACTAACGGTGAAGTGATTTTCATTCCCTGTAGTTTTCGAAAGCAGTTTGTTCTTATCGGATGCAACGCATTATAACCGTGTTTTACCGTATACATGTTTCCAAAACAATTGTGATTTAGTAATTCTTGGGTTGAGATTTTACTAGTAAAAGTTTTAAAAAAAAAGTAGAAAGAACAAAAAACAAGTTCATTGTTATCACAGATATATATTTAAATCACATCATACCCAAAAAGAACACTCCACAGAAATCAAACATGTGCACCTTATTTGGTTACAAGGTGTTTTTTTTTTTTTACATGATTGTACAAGAAAACTAAATGTTGTTTAAATAAATCCATAGATAATTCAGATTGTATAATTTGTGATTTCAAAGGATATTCATAGAGAATGAGAAAAATTAAGGACAAGATTATAAAATGTTCTATTAAACTTATTTTAAATTTTAACAAAAACAAACAAAACAGAATCCACCGCATAGTATAACCCTAGTTTAACAAACACTTTCTAAATCAAAAGACAGTGTGTTCAGATATTGTATTTTGAGTTCAATTTTGTGGTTACCCTTAATGTGTAGTTTACAAGCTCAACAAATATTGAGATAAGAATACATGTACATCAATGTCTTCTCTAAAGAGACATGTTCATAAAATTATGAACATATAAAAACATACCTAGCAATTAATAAGAAGTCAGTAACTCACTATAAAAATTTAAGGAAATCTTCCAACAAAACAAGACTTTGTTCACATTATTAAATGCTATATTATCATCATCTTATACATTTACAATACAGTTCAATTTTTTGATTTACCGGTACAAAAAGTTACATCCAAAGCAGCTTGACTAAAGAATGCTTTGTGGCAAGTTTGGTTAAAATTAGCCTATTAATTCTGGAGAAATCAAAATTGTCAAAAGTATATGCACACTGGAACATAACAGATGGTAAAAAATCATTTATACATGGATATTTTGGACAAAAAAAGATCATTATTGCTCATCAATACATGAATGCAATATCACTTTGAAAGATAAATGAATCTCCTAATCAAATCATCTTGATAGGTTCACCAAAACCCAACCAGGAATGCATACAACAATGCATGATATCATTGATACCGATATGATATAATGTCACATTTCATTTATGTGCAGCATAAATGGCTCAATTCAAAGTATTTTTCACATGTGTAAATGGTCATATCTCATTTCAAAATTACATGTACCTCTTTTTTGGAAAAAAAAAGCTATAAATGCTGGTACATTTTGTGTAATAAAAAATAAGTTACAAATCAGGAAAATAAACCTGTAGCTTCTCATGGATGTCTATACATGTAATGCTGTTTCCAGGCCATTTTCTGAATTTAACAGGCCCGTAGGAAGCAAATTCAGTTTTGGGGGGGGGGGGGGGGGCACAGCCAGACATTTTCAGTTGACAGTTGAGGGGGCACTACCAAAAATTTCTTGACAAGCAAAAATTAAAAAAAAAAAAAAAAAAGAACATCAGACGTTTTTATTGAGGGCCGGGGCCAGCAAAATTATTGGGGGGGGGACAGCCCCCCCCCCCCCCCCCCCCCCCGTTCCTATGGCCATGTTTAATACTTAATAACATGTACACACACACTCTTCACTTGCAAAACCTGGAACCTTTTAGAATACCACACACTTAATGATTTTGACATTTACATTTCCTATATATTAGACTTGCTGCCTATAACTCTGAGCATGGCATCTTTTGTGGAGATCGCAGATGCTATACAGCCGTCCATTGTGGAATGTGTAAAACCATCACCAGCCAGAACAATCAGGGGGGATTCATTCAGTACTACACAGCCTGGGTTGTTCACATAAGCTTTGTGGACCTAATCAAAAATCACAAACTTTTTTATATGTTCTAAATGACAAATACTGGTACATGTAATAACTTTTAGCATCATTTTAAATGCCAGAATCATACAAAATAAACTCACATAGAAGACTTGCACACTGAGAGTACACTTTCAACAGAGCAAGTTCATATAATGAATATTATAATTTTTTTTTGGACATTGACATTTGACATTTTAACATTGATATTTCAAAAATGTCAAGAAAAACAAGAGGCCCATGGGCCACAACACTTATCTGAGTCGACTTTATCCTAGTTTCTATTCTTCAAATGAAGATTATGAAAAAAAAATCTTTCTATTCTGAATTTGCATGCATATTAATTAGACTAATCATGAACCTGCTGTTCTTGAAAAGAAGATATTTATAACATTTTAAAAAAAATTAATTTGAATGTAAACACTTTGATTCCCTATAGTTCCTCCTCTCCAAACCTTGATTTGAATAAATTTGGATCTGCACTACCTGAGAAAGTTAGCAGATGAAATTCACTAACCATGTCCATTCTGTTCTTGAGAAGGACATTCTTACTAAAAGATGTTTTCCTAAATATTCCCTGACATGTAAAACTTAATGATCCTCTATTGTGACCTCACCCTTCCCATTGGGGCCAAAATTTAAATATGAATCTGAAGTATATTAGGAAATTTTACTTAGGTTTCATCTTCTTTGGTACAGTGGTTATTGAGAAGGAAATTTTTAAATGACTCATAAAATTTTCACTATTTCTTAATTATCTCCCATTTAAAGAGAATGGGGCCCTTCATTTGAACATAATCTGAATCCACGTCACCCAAGGATGCTCTGTGTCAAGTTTGGTTTGGCTCAGTGGTTCTGGAGAAGAAGATGAAAATGTAAAAAGGTTAAGATGACAACAACAACAGACAAATTTTGATCAGAAAATTCACGTGAGTCTTTTGTTAAGGTGAGCTCTAACTTTTGACTCTTCTTTAGAGATATTCTCCAAATTAAAAAAAGTTTACAAACAGACAGACAAGATGATTTCCATTATCACCTCCCAAACTTAATTGTGAGTTGAGGAGCTAGTATATAAGGCTGCAGAATAAAGAAATAAAAATATATCACATAAAACGAATATCACAATGCGTAGAAGTTCACCTGAGAGAATCTCCATTTATGTCCTTTGATTTCCGCTGGTTCTGGTAACTCTGGTAAAACATCTCTGAGATGCTGAAGAATTGTGGGAACCATCACATTTTTGTCCTGTTCAAGATTTTCCAAACTAAATGGGACATTTGTATGTACAGTGACAGATGGTCCAAGCTTTGGGTTGTCTGAAAAAGAAGTACATATTGATATGAAACAGTTTCTCTGTGTAATATTCTCCCAGTTATGGGAGCTAACTGAGCTGTTACTGTATACACTGAATACTCCAGTGCTACATTATATTTCAAGATAAGTGAAAAAAGTTAAAGTTTCTGAAAGAAGTTCATTCCTAAGTGATTATATAAAAATGACCTAACTTGCTAAGATTTTGAATACATGTATATATATGGCTGATCAAATGAGAAGCTGAATCTGCTCTTGACATATAGTCAATCCTTGTTATCTTGAACGGGGGGAAAAACTACAAGATATCAGAGAATTTTAGATATCAAGGTTAAAATATAAATAGGTTTAGAGTAACTTGAGACTTTCAACATACTTAAACATACCATGGTATTCAAGTTAACAAAGTATAAACTGTATGTACCTTCTCATTTCCCTAATAATATATTTACTCAAGAAACAGAATATTTTATTCATCTTAGTCTATTAACTACAAAAAATTATAACTGAAACTTACTCAACCCTCTCTTCTTGTTTTCAATGGCTACAAATCTTACACAGGGATTCTCGGTAATGTATTTTCCTCCCCATGTGTAACTTATTTTGGTGCCAGGATTATAGAACAGTCCCACAGCAAATCTCGAGGAGTAGGAAACATTCTCCAAATTCTGCTTCACATCTGGCTTAGAATCTATTCATGTTGTAAAAAATACATCATACTAAAATAATGTCAGTTCAATACCGGTACTTTAAATTTTGTGATCTTACTTAAAAATTAGGTTACATGTATAAAAGATATTTTGTTAGTTTTAACTTCTATGCAACACAAAAACAAATCGCTTTATCCGTAACTTGTAATATCTGAGTTTGTTATAATCTTAAAATTTTACAAGGAATTGTTAAAAATTTTGCAGGCGACCCCAAAAAACTTCAGTATATCCGTAAATTCGCTATATTCATGATCATACTAAACATGTTCATTTTACTGACCTTGCCACCTTCAAGGTGATAATTATAAATGTTTTTCTCATACTTTTAACATTAAGCATAAACACTCCATTCATACTGGTCTGTATACCAAATAACAATATAATGGATTGTTTTGTAATGGGTTACTATTAGGGATGTCAAAAGATTTATTTTCTTTAGTCGAATATTCTACTGCATTATTCGAACGATAGTCGAATGTATTCGAAACCTTTTTCGGAAACTAAAATTTTATTTCAAACTTCACTGGTACATGACATATTAAACCCCAAATCCCCTTTTCTTAAATTTATTAAAAAGTAACATCAAATGTTAGACACAGATGTTCACATGAACCTAAAATGTGGATAGCATGTTTATATTTACTAAATATAGACCGCTAATTTGTCCAAAATGTATGATTTCCCTGTCAATCATGTTCATAAATCGATCTGTAAAGTTGGTTTTTTAGGAAGCATAAAAAATTACAGTAAGAAATATTTTTTAAAGCATATTAAAATTATTGGGGGGGGGGGGGAGGGGGGGAGGGGGAGCACACACGGTAAATCTGTGATAAAGGTAAATTTTTGAATATACTTTTTTTTGTACCAACTATCAAAATGTCTTTAAATATGTAAAAGAATATTAATTTTATAATAATTATCGTAGTGTCCAAACTTGTCATGGCTATAATGGGTACATGATATGAGATCAAGTCCAATTAATAATTTTACAAAGAATGCAAAGTATACATGGTTGGCCGGGAAATACCAGTGGTGGGAATTACCACTGGTAAATACCGGTATTTCCCGTCCCGGGAAATACTACAAATTTCTCTAATGTGGGAAATACTGGTAAATACAAATCTAAAGTTTTTTATTTCATTAGTTCATTCAATCTTATGCAAAATTCAAAAATAAAATAAACATAAAAACAAAAGATGAATAATATGGAATATGTCTCAAATTGCAATTGAACATATTTAGAATGTATCACTACTCCAGGTCCCATAGTACCCATATAAGCATTCTGAAACATTTCCCTGGCTGTATAAAACTGAAGTTTTCCAATTTAAGTTTCTTTTCAGTTTTGTAAAATTATTAAATTTATTAATTATAAATCCATGAAAAAAAACCCAACTTGTTTTAAACCTTCTATAAACACTGTAGTTATTACAAACAATCATGTTGTTTTAACAAATTGCTCTGGACAGTTTTGTGCTCATGTTTTAAGAGATAATTACCTTGAGTAGAACTGAAAGGCTTCTTTCTTACATGTCTTAGGATTGATATTTATACCATACTCTACATTTAAGAATTTTCTTAGATAAAAAAACCCAATTGGGATCTTTGAGTTAATTTCATGGACCTTTACTGACTACATCTGACTCAAGCATGAAACAAATGACACTCATGACTGGTAAATAAGTATACTGTGTTATGATTTTATAAAATGAATTACTTGGAAACCAAAATTTTTTAAATCATGGAAAGTGATACCAGGAGATATCTTAGCCAATAAGGTGTACTACATGTCAATATGAATGAAATATGTAGCTATTTCTTATTTCCCGGTAAATACCAGTATTTCCCACCATCCTGGGAAATACGAGTATTTCCCAGTTTTTTGCCAACCCTGGAAGTATAGCAAGATAATTTTATTACAAAAACACATTAACTGACAAATAATTCACACGGAAGTGAAGCATTTCTAATTACTGTACTTTCTACATGTAAAGGCAGCAGTTTTTAATGAGGAAAATTATCTTATCGACAGTATCTTATCGACTCTTCTATTGAACGAATTTATTCGAATGTCGTTTCGTTATTCGATCGTTCGGTCCATTCGACTGATAGTCGAATAGTTGACTATTTGTTGACATCCCTAGTTACTATAGATACGACCTACTTATGATGTCTGCTATAGAGCCCTGGAGCTGCAGAATCTGAGGAACAGGCATGGTCAACACGGCTGAATCACACTCATACATCTGACCACTGTCACTGGTCATCTGTACTTTGTTTCCATTCACATCAACTCGAGTTATCTGTTCAGATTTTTTCAACTCTGCTCCTGTAAAACCCCAGAAATTTGGTAAAAGGTAAATAATTCATGTAATTAACTTAGCATCACAGATACATTTAATAAACTTTGTTATCTTGAATATTGATATCTTGAATACCATGGATATGTTGAAGTCATTTGGAAAACCACTTCTCCTCGATATATTTTACCCTCAATATCTTAAACTTTGCAAAAATCTGTAAGTTTTTTACTTGGTCCAATTCAGTTCATTTATATCCTCTTGTGTTGATGCTCCATTTTGTCTATCATATTCATAATTAATTTTTTTTTAATTTATCTTGCAAAGAGCTACCCAAAACACAATCTTATTTGATATCAAAGGATCTGGACAACATTTGTGAGTCAAGACATACTTAGTACAATGATACAGCTAAAAGCAAAAGCTGTTAAGCTTTGATAGAATGACTGAAGTTTGACATTAAATCTTATCAAATTATGTGTTAATAAATTTAGCTTTTGCTATTAGATAGTTATTTACACTTTTCTTCAAAAATACAGTGGACCTTCAAATATACGGATGCCAGATATCTTAACGCTTCAGCTTTCGGATGATTTTTCATGGGAACTGAATTTTTTAAAGTTACTCTCATTTATCTGGAATTCCACGTTCTGTATCCAGATGATCTTTTTCACCACAAAATGAATTTTTACATTATATTTTGGTTCATTTATCCAGAGAGTAATTTTTTTAATTGGTCTATAAAGTCTGCTCAAATTTTTTGAGCTGGATGTTAACTGTTGTAAAAACACTGGCCTGGCCGTTTGTTTTAAAAGAGGATCACTTGCGACCTGTTATCAGTGACTAGCGGCAAGGTTAAATATAAGTCGATGGCTTCACATGAGACTCTCACTTATTACTTAAGGGAAATAATTTTATATGTCAATAATTTTTTCATAATTGGCAAACATATTTCATTTACTGTTGAGTACAGTCATAACATGGTTTTATGTATTGCTTCTTATAGACATGACATCAGAGTTGTTTATGCACAGTTTTTCTTACTGTGTTATGGAATGGTACCAATGTACATTAAAGTATTCAAACTGTAAAGTATATGATATAAAACAGCATTCTTTATTATTGCCAATTATATGAAAAGCCATATAACTACAATCAAGGCAATTCAGGTATCCAGAAGCTTCACCTATCCAGACGATTTTGACTGGGAACCAAAGCATCCGGATAAATGAGGCTCCACTGTATATGAAGTTACTGAGACAACTGTGTACCTGACTGATTGAGGAAATGCTTTACTATTGAGCTCACACCCTCTGGTGCTACATAGTTAGTGACAGACAGGTCTTTATTTCTGTGTCCATCAATTTCACTAGATAAAGTTTTGAGAATTCCTTCTGAAGTCAACTCATCATGAAATCTAAAAACAAAGGCAACAATAATGACAAATGATATGAAAATGATCTGTTTCAAAATGTCCAACCTAACAATTCAAAATTAAAAGAATTTTAACAGAAAAATGCATATGAGCATTTCTTACAATATATTATCTTTTATTAAATTGGTAAAACATAATAGCTCAATTTTTGAATGGAGATACCTTTGTCCAAAAATTTACATGGGTACATCGATTTACCCAAATTGACCCAAATGGAAACCCAAACGGAAATCAAATGGACCCAAATGGAATATTAAAGACGTATTATCGTACCCCCCCCCCCCTAATTTTGCTGATGTATAGAAAACTAAAGAAAAACAATTCGTATTTTAAAATAAAATATTAGAAATGAATAATTAATATTCTCCATTTGTAGGTTCATTATTTTCATCATTTAAAATAAATAACAACTTGATAATAAAAAATATAGATATTTAATATTCCATTCGGTTTCCATTTGGGTCCATTTGATTTCCATTTTGATTTCCATTTGGGTCCATTTGTGTTCCATTTGGGTAAATTGACGTGCCGAATTTACATCGCAATTTAGATAGGATGGCATACAGTTTATGCGAAAGTCACCAGATCGTCGGTTTTTACTGGTAAAATTTAGTTTGGGTCGGTAAAAAATTTCAGAATATAGGATCGATTGTCAGTTAAAAAATAAGGTCAAAAAATATGAATTTACATGTACACATGGTCCAATTTCCCATGATATATCCTTTATTTGACCCATTTAGCAGTAATGCCTGATTAATTTTTATCTATAACAACCCTGTCATGATCGGTTTTTTTCTAATTCGAATTTCCTCTGTCTTGGAATAGGGATCTATGGATAGCTCATATGTAGACAAGGTTGGGAAATTATTTTCATTATTAAACTTCAGTAACCATTATGAGTTGTTTCAGGAAAAAATATATTGAAAGTGCATTTTCAGTTAAAGAAAATCTTTGACACTGTGTATTTTGTATGTGTCATATCCAGAAAAAGAAATTGCATGCAATTGTATACTACATTTTCCAAAGGAAAATTATTAATAGTAAGCTTGTTCATTTCATTCAAACCATTTTTTTATAACCATAACTCTCTGGATTTATTTGAGGTTCAATTTCAAAGTGAGAATTTACCCCCAGCCCTCACCCCCCTTTTCAATCTCAGTATCATAATGATGTATGAACTTAGAGAAAAAAAGTCGTTCTGGTAAGTAAATGCTTGGTCTGTGGTGCTAGGACTTTCAGGAATCCTGGGATTTCGGGAGAATCCCCCTACAGAAACAAGAATCCCTGACAAAAATGTAGAATCCCCATAAAAATGAATGAGTTGGGATACAGAAAGGGTTTAGGTGGTGATTACTAGGATGATAGTGTTATCCGTACATTTTTACAGCCAATTTTACCCGAGAATCCAATCAAAACTTCTCGGGCCTTTCTGACAAGCGGAAAAACAACCTCGAATGTGTTATGTTGGCGTCCATGACAACCCCCCTTTTCATAAACTTTGAAATAAATGTAGGGAGACCTCTTATCTGTAGAGTCTGGAGCCCAACTTTATTGAATGTAAAGATATTACCTAAAATATACTACAGGAGTGACTTTTAACTCTGTATTTCCAATTCTTTAATAAATAGGAAGCGAATCCATCTTGTATAAATTTTTAACATCCGGTAATGTTAAATTACAATTGAGGTTGTTTTTCCGACCTCCGACGGAAAAACCCGAGATGAGGCGATTGCCGAGAATCGTCAGAAATCGGAAGCCATTACTAGTTGTTGTGGTATACCATAACTATCATCCTAGTAATCACCACCTAAACCCTTTTTGTATCCCAACTCATTCATTTTTATGGGAATTCTAAGTTTTTGTCGGGGATTCTTGTTTCTGTATGGGGATTCTCCCGAAATCCTGGGATTCCTGAAAGTCCTAGCACGGTCCTACTAAACAGAGTACGCTAGTACGATAGAGTACTTTAGAGTACGCTAGTAAAATTTAATAATTTAATGCAATTTAACTACTTTTTGTATGTTTTTCTACTTTAGGTTAACATAATGAATATATATTTTAAATTAGATTTGTATGTTTTCCTTATTTTAGGAGTTATTTCAAATTCTGATTTCAGGTGACGGTTTATCGTTTGATCCCGATCTAATTTAACTTGAACATGTTGAAATGTTTCATTGTTAATGTAAAAAATATTTATATAGGGCAATAAATTTAATTTTTGATAAAATTTAGTTGAAGTTAGTAAGTCTGAAACAAAATATTAATCGAGATCAGAGTGTTAATAATCTTTAACAGTTTAATGCATTGAATCATGAATGTTATTTTCTTGTCAAAATAGCGCTAAAAACAAATATTTTGAAATAAATATTGCAATATTAGTTTATAAGTTTAATCGAGTTATATTTACATAAATAAACAATTTAATTGCATTAAACTACACATTTTTTCTAGCGTACTCTAAAGTACTCTATCGTACTCTGTTTAGTAGTACCCGTCCTAGCACCCCTTGGTCTGGTAAAAAATATATTTTTACCAGACATGTCCTGTAAAAATTTAAGACTTCCGCGTAGATTGGCATAGAATATTACATCTAGAATTAAACAAAAGATGTTTTGAGGCTTCACAGTTTAAACAATCAGTGGAAACATGACATTTTTGCATCATTTTAGATCTATTTGTTCTCGTCCACTGCTTACCTATGGTGTTTATCTTTGTATGCCTCTGTAATTGATATGTACTGAGCTCCCAAGTCCACTGTAAAACTGTTTGCTTTCATACTCCGGCTGGTGGACATTCGGCCACCTACATGTCCAAATGAGATGTATTTAAGGAATGTTTGACCTGTTTACACAATATCATTTACAATTGCTAAAGGAAATACTATCAAATATACAAAGGATTTTACCGACACCCCTGCCCTTGTCTAGGACCAACAACTTGCTCTCGGCGCACTCCGTTCTCAGGAGGGAGGCTAGGGTAGCGCCCGTCATTCCCGCGCCTACAATTCCTATCCTCTCCATGGCAGTTTTCATCATTATCAGTACTTTATGCAACAATCACGTGTTGAAGAACATGACAAATGTATAGTTTATTCGAAGTAACCCGGGAACTGTCTCAGTTTTCGGCCATTTTAACGTGTATAAACCAAAATGTTCTCGGTCAGTTTTTATCCGGATTTCAATTAAGAGCACTCACTGTGTGGCTGAAATATGAAAGAAAACAACAAAAATTGAGACATAACTTCTTCCATCAAAATGAAATGTAAAAAAAAAAACATAAAAGGGAAAAATATTTGTTTAGAAATATTTCTAAAAAACTTCTTGATTGGAAAGCAAGTATTAGCTTCTCTAAAAAGCGGGTACTACTAAACAGAGGGTAGACAGACATCTCGGCTCAACGACACCTCGGCCCGTGACGTCTGACACCTCGGCCCTGACAGGTCGGCCCAAGATTATGGACACGTCGGCCCATATATAAAAGACACCTCGGCCCAAGCGAAATTTTATGATAGAAAAAATTAATCCAGTGTCTAAATTGTTATTATTATCGATGTTATTATTCTTTCTGACGGTCAAACGATTTTTTAAAAAAAATCAAAGGGGGGGGGGGGGTCTATAATAGAAAATTGGTTAACTTCCCTAAGCAAATCAGATCAGCACGTCCTTAACTATAACATCTATCTCTTTTGAAAAATCCCTAATATATACACTTAAGTGGAACTATAATATATATCAATATTCTAATGATCTTGACTTTCTATAAGAATTGCTGGAATTTTATCGTAACATTTTGCATTATTTCTCTGACGATCTGAAACATCTGATTTTATTGTTTACACTTATGTCAGTATAAATAATCGTATTAAAAAATAAATAGTTTAAGTACGTAAAATAATTGCATTATTGATCTGAACTTCATCGTATGTTTCATCATGCTCATTGATTTAAAATCATAGTTTGATAAAGACAGCTAAAAATAAAATTAAAAAAAAATCAGGACTCGAACTGGTTTTTAATGTAAGTGGAATTCTTCAGAAATAAATGGATGTAATTAAATGTTCTGAATGACTAAACCTGCTCGTAATTTTTCCCTCATTGTCGCCAATATGACATGCACGGCGGCATCTTGTTTGTTTAATAAAATAATAATTATTTTTTTATTCCTTGATTATCGTCAATTATGCAGCTTGTGGGAGGTCTTTTTATTACTAAAAATAATCTTGATCGTTTACTTTTTTTTCGGTCAAAATTTTATTGAAGTCGCAGATTGGAAATACATTTACTTCTAACTTAAAGGTCATATGAAACAATGTCCAGAGCATTTTGGGTTGTATACGGAAATGAGTTCATCTGAGCAACTTTAATAAGCCTGAAATTATATTTTGAATTTTTTATGCAAGTTAGCGGCAGCAGAGTCGATCAAAATTACTCGACTGCAAAAATGAACTTCAACTAGCGCGGCTTATCTCCCTTTGCTTATGACGTCAGTAAGACCCAGTCGTACATTCAGTACTAACATTTATACAACCGATCATGTCTTTTGCAGCGTAAATTTTAAGAAATATCATTATTTAGGCTAAAACGTCGCATAAATATACGATATTCAAACAAGATAGTATTTGTCTTTTAACATCCTACTGCATATTTGCAAGATATTAGTATGTTTTATCTGTGTAATTTATTGTCGTCCTTCGAGACTTAAATCGACAGAGATGATACTACAAAGAGAGGGGGTCTGTACTCGAGTAAGTTAATATAGACGCTGTCAAATAATTTACAATTGAATACATTTCTTACATAAGAATACTGATGATTTGTTTTCTGATTAAATTTTTAAGCCATGATTAGATGATGCTACCTAGGTACTCGGTAGCACACGCATTTATAAAGCTGAATTCGATTGACCGCGCTATGTGTGAAATTGAAAGTAAACCTGCATATAAATGATTTCATTTATTTATGGGAAATGAAATGATTCTAGTGCTTTCTCCCGTTCTCAATCACTTTTCTCTCTTTGGTTTTCCCTGTCTCGATGACCCCCCCCCTCTCTCTCTCTCCGTATTTTTTTCTTACAAAATGTTGGTGTATATACGATAACACTATAACTATATTATCGTAATAATTTTAAAAAGTCAGACATTAAACGTAATTCTATCTATGTAATCCTACTTTTCTGTATGTATATATTTACAGACAGTTTATTTTAACACAGATTATTATATAGTCTGGTTTTAAAAAAAAGTTGAACTGTAAAAGTATTAATTTTGAGAATTAATTGTTCAGGTTCAGTCTCGCAAATAATGGTGGCATGGATTTTTTTTAACTGATCAATTTATGCACGAAATGCATGAGTATTTTTTTTAAACTGCAATTGCTCAGCCAAACTGTAAGAAGTATCAGCACCGTAACAATACAGTGTATGTATATACATGTACATTCTCGTAATGCAAGTAAATTTTGAGCCATTTTTTTTAAAATCATGCTTCATTCAAATACGCCGACTTTTCATAGATCCATTTTTATCATGAACTTCAATATCCCCGTGTTAATTTGGGAAAAAAAAAAGGGGGGGGTACTCTTGAGCTACATATTTTTCCCTCTCAATATATGACACAACTTTACAGATTTTGCATGCCCATTAAATTTTTTATTGTAAGAAGCTTCAGGTCAATGTTAATTAATTACGCTGTTTTTGTTGTTAATTATACAATTTTACTTGGAATGGAAAAAATATATCATATACGTATCAAACAAAAATAAGAAGATTTAAATTGTTTCTAAAGTATTAATTTAAAATAAGTAATCATAGTTGGAGGAGAAAAATCTTGATTTCTACGGGGTATTCATCAGGATCATCCTACGATTAAAAGCTCTCGTTTTCAGTTGCTGTGTCTAATTAACGATTAGTTCAAATAGAGTAAACTGTACTTTAGAATCAGATAGCTCATCTGAATACATAATCACATTTATACCCACAAAAATGACTAAAATTAACCCAATAAAATACGGTAAAATTACACTAGATCTAATGCGTTATTTACATTAGTGGGTCTTTGTGACGTCATAAAAGCACAAAATCAAGAACGATAAGCGGGTAACAAATTTATCAAGTGGACACGTTTAGGCCTTCATTTTTCAGTTAAGCAAAGGCAAATTTTTTTTACTAAACGTGATTTGACATTCTTTCATACCAGTCTTTATGTTTAAAAAGTAAAATCCTAGTGTTAAGAATCGTTTCATATGACCTTTGATAAAAGTTTGCTTGGGCCGAGGTGTCTTATGTATGGGCCGAGGTGTCTTAAATTTTGGGCCGACTAGTCGAGGCCGAGGTGTCATTGGGCCGAGATGTCAATGGGCCGAGGTGTCGTTGGGCCGAGGTGTCTGACATTCAAACAGAGAACCCTAGAGAACTCTAAAGAACCCTAGAGAACCCTAATGATTTTTAATTATTTATCGTTTGCAAATGAAATATTTATGTTTTCAATAACCAACATATCATACAAGAACAAAATAAAATTTAAAAAAAGAATATTGTGCCAGGTTTTATGCTTAATTTTAAAGGAATACTAATCTCTGAAGACTTCATCATACTATGTGTGATTTTAAGTATTTTTTTCAAATAATTTTTACACCAGAGATAACGGCTAAGAGTTCCATATAACTTAAAAAATAAAATTTATTAAAAATAATGTGAAAAAGAATTGTAAAATTATGTGGTAAAATTATTACTTCAATTTATAAACAGCTTTTTTGAAATTCAGTCGGGATCGGGATGACATAAAATATTCAATTAATTTTTCAACTTTTTTCAAGGGAAAACATCCATAAACTAATCTTGCTATTTATTTTATCGATAGAATATGATTTATAAAGTAAAAATAAACTCAATTAGGCATAAAATTTATTTGAATTGACCAAATATACCTTGAGTTCTCTAGGGTTCTCTAGAGTTCTCTGTTTAGTAGGACCGCTAAAAAGCTTGTCTGACGTTATTCTCTATTGAGAAGTTGCTGGCTCGTTTTAATACTCTCCCTCAATGCGTTTTATTCCGGCCCAAAAAGTGTGTACGTGTATTTGTAGGGGAGGGGAAGGGACACATAAATTTCTTGCTTCCCCCACCCCACTTTTCAAAATCTCCCACCTGCCCCTGGGGTACAATCCTGCGACTTTCTATTGATACCCAATTTTTGTCTGTTTGGGATTTCCATGCTACTAGACATTCTCAAAAGTAGAACCGAAAGTTGAGGGGGAGTATTAAAACGAGCCAGCAACTTCTCAATAGAGAATAGTCTGACGTGAGCAAAGAACTGCGAACGATAGTATTGTTCTCCTGTATGGCACGCCAATTTCACAAAAATTAGCGAAACTTAGTTTCACAGTTGATAAACTAGGTTTATCGACTGTAAACTATAGTTTACAAACCGTGAACTATAGTTAGCAATTCGTTAACTATAGTTTTCATCTGTAAAACTATATTTAACGGTTGTTAACTATAGTTTACGAATGCTAATCTAAGTTTATCTGTCTGTAATTAAACGTTAACAATAGATTTTGTTGATAACATAGATTCACATCTGTAAACTATAATTTACAATCGTGAACTATAGTTAAGAGTTGTTAATCATAGTTTCACAAATCGTGAAACTATATATTTATCAGATAAACTATGTTTTACATTCGTTAACCATAGATTTCGGTTGTAAACTATAGTTAACTGTCATTTATACTCACAAACTATATTTAACAGACGTAAACTATACTTATCGATCGTAAACTATAGTTTTGAGAGCTAAACTATGATTCACATTTGCCAATCATAGTTTATCGTAATAAACTATAATTCACACTCGTAAACTATAGTTAAGAGTTGTTAAATATAGTTTATGAATCTAAACACCTGTTAACTGTTAACGATAGTTTTCAATTCGAAATTTCGCGGCACCATAAAGGGGTATAGGTTTTATCAGTGCGGAGAATATTAAGGACACGTGTTAGGCATTATCTAAAGCAAAGACCGAGTTATATATAATCAATATTACTTTCTCTATTTAAACAGGATTAATTGTATTTGTTTTAAAATGTCGTGTATATATATACATTTCCTATGGGGAAATTTTTAGAAATATGATAAAATTTTAATTTTTTGAAAGACAGAATAT